GAGATAGAGAGAGAGAAGCAGAGACATAGGCAGAGGGAGAAGCAGGTTCCATGCACCGGGAGCCTGACATGGGTTTCGATCCCGGGTCTCCAGGATCGCGCCCTGGGCCAAAGGCAAGCGCCAAACCGCTGCGCCACCCAGGGATCCCCTGGATAACATCTTTGAATGGATTTAAAGGGTGGCATCTTTTACCATTCTTGTCAGGTGGTAGTCCTTGCCTGACCTCCCAAGCATGGATTATGTTTCCATCTTCTGTGCTCCCCAAATGTGCTATACTTGTTTTTATTTTAGCTCCTAGCTTACTGAATTGTAACTGTTAGTCTAAATATTAGACTGAGTTTAGGACTTGGGTCTTAGTCTCTAATCTCAGCATGTAGCTGAATCACCTGTTTGGTGAATGAGGACTTTGTGGGCGTTTAGAAATTAGAAGTCAAACTGCAGCCTAACTGAAAGTCCATATTTAAGCAGTTATAAAATTGTTACTTCAGAGCGGCTTAATTCAAGGAACTTATTTTTCAGGATCTCTCAAAGATGAATCACTCCTTGACTAAATTGTGAAGAGGTGGGTTTAGTAAGTTAGGACCCTTGATTAGTCTTTGATCTTATGTAAGAGAGAACACTTTGTTTGGATTCTGACTGGAAGTGTTTTTCTCTTTCTGTTCTGCTGTCCCAGGCCATTAGTCATCAGGTATTCCCATTCTTTGCTATGGAGCAGAGCCTAAGAAACCTCTCTTGGGTGCACAGAAAGTCCTGTCTTCTCTCTGGTGTAATCAGTTTGTTTTTGAAAATTCTGTCTGGAAGTCTAAAAAAGCACTTTAATATGTCCAAATCTTCCTCTGTTTCCCCTCCATGATTGTCAACATGTTATTCCCCTGCGGTTATCTCTATAACCATAATCTGGAAACTTGGGGTTTACCTTTGACCCTTCATCTCTTTCATTTCCTTTATGGGTTCATCATCAAGTCTGGTATATTTGACTACCCCCTGTCTATTAAATGCAGTCAGTTTTCGAACTTCTCCCCTGTTAGCTGCGGTAGACTACACTGTCATTATGCCTTGCCTGTAGTATTAGTTTAACTTCTCTCCCTGTACCCATTCTTGGTCCCTTCCAGTCTACTCTTGACCAAACAGCAAGAATGATCTTTTTATATCTCATAACTGTTCATTTATTCACAGACTGGGGCAGGGAGGTGGGTGGGTGTGGTCATGAAGGGGCAACACGAGAGATCCTTGCAGTGATGAGACTGCCCTGTATCTTGTGTCATGTTGATATCCTGATCACGATATTGTGCCCCAGTGACGGGACATTATCACTGGGGGAAACTGCGTAAAGGGTAGACAAGATCTCGCTCTGTCATTTCTTACAACTACATGTAAAGCTATAATTATCTCAGTAACATTTCAGTAAAAATATTATTACCCTGTTTAAAATTCTTCACTACTTTCCTACTCCTTTTAGAATAAAGCCTAAAGTACTTACTACTTACTGTGGTCTTTCGTAATTTGCATCATCATCTAGCCTGGTTTATTCGATACCAGTTTCCTGCTAGCTGCGTTCCAGACACACTGACCTTCTTACAGTGTCTTTAACATGCCAGTGTCTTCACTTACAGCCTTCCTGCTCACTTCCTCTTGCCCAAAATATTGTTCTTTACATTCTTTTGATTAATTTCTTCTCATCCTTTGTATATCAACTTTCTTTTCTTTCCTTTTTTTTTTTTTACATTTTCTTTTTATTGGTTTTAGAGGTAGAGTTCAGTGATTCATCAGTCTTATATAACACCCAGTGCTCATTACATCAGGTGCCCTCCTTAATATCCATCACCCAGTTACCCCATCCCCCACCTTACCCCATCTCCCACCTCCCCCTCCCTTCCAGCAACCTTCAGTTTGTTTCCAATGATTAAGAGTCTCTCTCTCTTTTTTTTTTTTTTGATTAAGAGTCTCTTATGGTTTGTCTCCCTCTCTGATTATGTCTTGTTTTATTTTGTCCTTTGTTCCCCAATGATCTTCTGTTTTGTTTCTTAAATTCCACATATGAGTAAGATCATATGATAATTGTCTTTCTCTGATTGACTCATTTTGTTTAACATAATACCCTCTAGTTCCATCCATGTCGTTGCAGATAGCAAGATTTCATTTTTTTGATAGCTGAGTAGTAGTGCATTTTATTTTATTTATTTTATTTTATTTATTTTATTTTATTTATTTTATTTTATTTTATTTTATTTTATTTTATTTTATTTTATTTTATTTTTTTAGTAGTGCATTTTATATATACCACATCTTCTTTATCCATTCATCTGTTGATGGACATCTGGCTCTTTCCATAGTTTTGCTATCGTCGACATTGCTGCTATGAATATTGGGGTACAGGTGCCCCTTTGGATCATTCCATTTGTATCTTTAGGATAAATACCCAGTAGTGCAATTGCTAGGTCATAGGGTAACTCTGTTTTCAACTTTTTGGGGAACCTCGGAACTGTTTTGCCGAGTGGCTGCATTCCCCTTTCTCCATATCCTCGCTAACATCTGATGTTTACTAATTTGTTAATATTAGCCATTCTGACTGTTGTAAGGTACTATCTTACTGTGGTTTTGATTTGTAATTTTTGATGCCAAGTGATGTGGAGTATTTTCTCATGTGTCTGTTGACCATGTATATGTCATTTTTAGAGAAATGTCTGTTCATGTCTTCTTCCCATTTCTTGATTGGATTACTTGTTTGTTGGGTGTTGAGTTTGATAAGTTCTTTATAGATTTATAGATTTCTTATAGATTTTGGATACTAACCCTTTATCTGATATGTCATTTGCAGATACCTTCTCCCATTCTGTTGGTTGTCTTTTGGTTTTGTCACCTGTTTCCTTTGCTGTGCAAAAGCTTTTTAGCTTGATGAAGTCCTAATAGTTCATTTTGCCTTTGTGTCGCTTGCCTTTGGAAACATGGCTAGTAAGAAGTTGCTGTGGCCAAGGTCACAAAGTTTGCTGCCTTTCTTCTCCTCTAGGATTTTGATGGATTTCTGTCTCACATTTAGGTCTTAAATCCATTTTGAGTCTATTTCTGTGTATGATGTGAGGAAATGGTCCAGTTTCAATCTTCTGCATGTAGCTGTCCAATTTTCCCAACACCAATTGTTTTTTTTCCAATGGATGTTCTTTCCTGCTTTGTCAAAGATTAGTTGACCATAGAGTTGAGGGTTTATTTCTGGGTTCTATATTCTGTTTCATTGATCTCTGTGCCAGTACCACATTGTCTTGGTGATTACAGCTTTGTAATAGAGCTTGAAGTCCAGAATTATGATGCCTCAGGCTCTGGTTTTCTTTTTCAGCATTCTTTTGGCTATTTAGGGTCTTTTCTGGTTCCATACAAATTTTAGAATTGTTCATTCCAACTCTTTGAAAAATGTTGATGGTATTTTGATAGGGATTGCATTGCATGTGTGGATTGCTCTGGGTAGCATAGACTTTTTAACAATATTTGTTCTTCCAATCCATGAGCATGGAATGTTTTCCCATATCTTTGTGTCTTCCTCAATTTATTTCATTAGTGTCCTGTAGTTTTCATAGTACATATCCTTTACCTCTCTGGTTAGGTGTGTTGCTAGATATCTTAGCCCATTTCAGGGCCTGGCCTTCTTGTCTCTATGAGATGACCAGTCCTGGATTTGCTAAGTAGGTGGAATTCATTTGGAGCTGAAATTCATTGGCTTTCTGAATGATCAAGGCTCTTTTCATTGGTTTGGCTGAATTCTATGCTGTTACATTGTATATTTGCCTACCAAAAGTAAGGTCCCATCTCTGTGAGGGTGGGTATATGATTTGGTGAGTGTTAGTGTTCTTAGTTGTGGACAGTAGAATCCACACTAGCTAGTCTAAATAGAGATACTGGTTAGCATGCAGAATTATTACATACAGAATTTTTGGAAAGACTAGACAGTTAAGCTTGGATCTGACACAGGCAGAAGCAATGCAACTAGGAAAGGTGCTCAGTGACACCAAAGGACTATTTGAGAAGTGCCACAAAGTTAGGGATCAGATAGCAGAACTTTTAGAACTTCTGCTAAGTTCCTGTAGAAAAACCATATGCCTTCATGAGTGTTTGACATGAGAGTGTCTAAATTGCAGTGAGTCCCACTTTGGTCTTCCAGGTCTTACACAATTGTGTCTTCTTGGTAGAAACTGCCTTATACATAGGACCTTAGCTGCAAGAGAGTCTAAGGAGTATAGTCTAGCTTTACAGTCTCTTGGAGGAGGGAAGCATGCTAGAACCTGGTATTGTGTGAGCTAGTCTGTGTTGTTTGCCAATTAAAGGCTGACTGTCACAGACAGACCTCATTGGTCAGTAAATGTTTTATTTCAGTTTACTGCAAATGATTAAGCTTGGTGTACTACCTTTTAGGAACTTAACATGGGAACATATAGGAATGAAATGGAGTAACAATATGTTTTAGATTTTCAGTGGTGGGTTTTACCTGTGCTGAATTATGTACTTTATAGAGCTATATGATTTTTGCATAGTACCCATATGTTTGCCTATTCATTCATGGAATGTTCTTATCGAGAGCACCAAGTGTTGGCTGTTTTATACCATACTAGGAGCTAGTAATACCAAGTAGAGTAAGACCATCTGCATTCAGGAAACTCGCAGACTTGGTGTGGTAATGTTTTTCAACAGAGATGTGCATTCAAATTAATTTGTTAAGTTAAAAAGTAAAGAAAAAAAGCGGACTCCACATTTATATAACTACTTTCAGCTGCATACAAGAGTGTGAAGTCCCTACGTGAAAGTGATATGCAGAGTCCAGGAACCAAATTTTTCACATATTTTCCTGTTAATTCCTAAGGATTCTCCCTTGGTGTTGAACCTCTGGTCCAGTGGGTCAGTTAATAAACATTTTGTTTTACTGCTTTTGAAATCTTAGGGCTGTGTTTCAGTTTGTAGTAGTTATTTTCCACCTTTGCTTTAAAAAGTTTTAAAAACCCATGCTTGTTTTACAGGAGCAGAGTTACCAGGGCAGGTTATTTCCATGGCAGCTTCTACCCTAGCAACCTTGGCCATCTCTATCACAGGATATGAATCGAGCTCTGAGGACCAGCCCTCCACTGAACCTGCAGGTGACTTACCTTATGAAGGAATGTTTTCAGAATCATTCTGGAAAATGAAATACATGTAAAGGATAAACTTAAGGCCATGAGCATCACAGAATACTATCTACTGGTCCTTCATTTTCCTCTGATTTCTCTTTTTACACTTTTTCTTCCTCTCATCTTTGTTCTCACATAATCACTTTTTTCATGCTTTTAATTATTTAACTCTTTGTTTCTTATCTTGAATCTTCATCTTCCCTCCCCCTTTAAAAAAAAAACTTATTTTTCTTTTCGTATTCCTTCTCACTTTCCTTTCATAGTATCTTTTTTTTTTGCCCCCTTTAGTGCCCTGTGTACATTTTCCATATTTTCCCCCCACTTAATCCTTTCCTTATTTTGTAGCAGTCGATTCTTCTCCATGTTTTATTTTGCTTTCTTCACATGGCTTTTTTTTTTTTTTTTAAAGATTTTATTTATTTACTCATGAGAGACAGAGAGAGGGAGAAAGGCAGACACAGGCAGAGGGAGAAGCAGGCTCCATGCAAGGACCCTGACATGGGACTTGATTCTGGCTCTCCAGGATCACACCCTGGGCTAAAGGCGGCACTAAACCGCTGAGCCACCCGGGCTGCCCTTCACATGGCTTTTGTTGTTGATTCAACTTTTTCTTTTTTTTTTTTTTTTTTTTTTTTAATTTTTATTTATTTATGACAGTCACACACACACACACACAGAGAGAGAGAGAGAGAGAGAGAGAGAGAGGCAGAGACACAGGCAGAGGGAGAAGCAGGCTCCATGCACCGGGAGCCCGACGTGGGACTCGATCCCGGGTCTCCAGGATCGCGCCCTGGGCCAAAGGCAAGCGCCAAACCGCTGCGCCACCCAGGGATTCCTTTCTTTTGGTTTTTGTTTTCTGTCTTACAGTCATCTATTTCTCTGGCATTTCTTGCTTTTTTTCTCAAAATTTGCCTTGCATGCCTCATGCTGTTAATACATTAACTGCTTCCTATAAAACAGACCAGTCTGGTTGTTCTGGGTACCATGCTCCAAGATCTAGCTGATAGATTTATATCAGTTTTATTTATTTATTTTTTTTAAAAAAATATTTATTTATTTATGATAGTCACACAGAGAGAGAGAGAGAAAGGCAGAGACACAGGCAGAGGGAGAAGCAGGCTCCATGCACCGGGAGCCCGACGTGGGACCCGATCCCGGGTCTCCAGGATCGCGCCCTGGGCCAAAGGCAGGCGCCAAACCGCTGCGCCACCCAGGGATCCCGATTTATATCAGTTTTAAAGTCACACAGAGTTCTGGACTCACACAGAGTTTAGGAATGGAAAAGGCCATCTCTGTGCCAAGTGGTCAATTAGTGCCAGGGGTTTCACAGTTAAGGAATATTTTTCGTGAGCTCTTTCTGAAGAACTGCCTTTAGAAAAATCTTTAAAGGAGGGATCAACTAAGAAAAAGGCATTTGAAGTGGTAGGAAAATGTATTTTCTTTTGCACATTGAATCATGTTTTCAAAATGAAGGAGGGTATGATGTTTATGGACTTACTATTCTTCTCAGTATCTGCCGCACCCACCAACATGAAGTTTCCAAATTAGAAAGATTCTCAAAGAGCAAAGTCAAACAGAAGCACATAACTAGCTTGGGCTTTCGGCCCAGACCTCAGGGTAGAATGTTAGTTCTGGTGAGATTGGGCTGATTTACCATGGTGCTATTATATCAATAGTAACGGTTTACTCACAGATTAACATTAACCTTAGAAGACACACTTATAATTATAATACAGCACTTAGAGGACTACTGTGTAGTTGCTTATGAACATTATCAAACAAGGGAAGGCTGTCTTTCAACAGTATTTAGTGAGTGCCCACTGTATGTCAGGTACTTAGCGGAGCAAGAACAAGACAGACACACTCTTAGCTCTCCTGGAGGTGGCGTTCAACTGAAGGAAGAAAGTGCAACAGGGTAAGTGGAACATGATATAACTGTGTAAAACTATATAAAAACTATGGGACACTTAGGGAGTTAGGGTAATGGGGGCTCTTATTTCTTTCCTCTGTTTTCACGACTTAAGAAATGTGACATATGTTTATCATTAGTTTTTTCTTATAGAAGACAAAATGCAAATTGTAGTGTCATTTCCATCTTCATGGCATATACTAAATAATATTGCTTTAAGAGTTATATCTGACTGGGTGTTATATGTTGGCAAATTGAGTTTAAATAAAAAAAAATAAAAATAAAGACTAAAAAAAAAAGAGTTATATCTGAGTTATATGGTATGTTTTGGTAAAACCAGGAAATAGAAATAATATAACCCTATAGTAAAAAGTAACTTGGTAGTTGCATTGTTACAACACAGTACCTTATGTGAAGTCATTTGGTATGACCTTTAGTTGAAAATGTCTCACCCCCAGCAATATGTCATTGTTTTATTTCTCATTCTAAGGGAAAGCCCTGTTTCAAAGCCCTGGGTTCTTTCTTATAAGAGCGGTTGGCTCTATTTTTAGGTAAAATGACACTGAAAAGCCATGTTGTATCGGAAATACACATACATCTAATAAAATTATATTAAAAGAGGAGAAATTTTTATGTTTATTTTTTATTTATTTTTTTTAGAGAAATTTTTAGATAAAGGAATTCTGTATGTTAATATTTGTTGCTTTATACAGTTTGAGTTTTCATTATAATTATAATAATTCTTAGCTATTGTCATAGTCTTTTGTTTAAATTATATATATGTATGTATAGATGTCATAAAATCTTGAACAGTGTAAAGTATATAAAGTAAAAAATTCACCATACCTAACCCTACCCACCAAGAAACTTAATTTTCCTTAGTTTAAATACTGTCAGTAGTGTAATTCCCCACACATTTTTCAGTGCATATGCAAACATGCCTCTAGATCCTTTTTTCTTTTTTAACTCAGTGTAATCGTACTAACAGAGTCCATTTGGAAGGCTTAAAAGAGTAGCCTAGAGAGTTGCTCCCTAGGACTGTTTCTTCTCATGTGGACTAATATGATGGTGATTTTTCCTCCCCTTTTTAGAGACCATGGACAGAGGAGAACCCCCTCCAGCGTTATCTTCAACTCCTTCACCTTCCTCCCCTTCACCTACCCTGGGCAGGCAAAGGCCTGAAATGGGAACATTTGTCAGGAAGAAGAAAACCAGTGACATCTACTTCGTGTCCCTCGTGTGGGCCATTATTGGAGTCCAGCTCTGGTTGAACCTGTGGATTGTACAGTTGCTGCCAGTGCCTATTGCAGGTGATTGTTCACTTATGGTCTGGTCTTGGAAGACTTTTTTTTTTTTCTTTAACTTTTGGATTTTATTTTATTTTATTAATTTATTGTTAACTTTGGGATTTTAATATTTGAGATAATATTAATCTCTTGTAAGATAAAACAACTGTATATATAAAGCTGTCTTCTAAGACTGGAAAAGTAGGTAATTCAGGTACCTTGTAGAAGAGTCTTTTATTTCATACTTTCCTGATTATTTGGGCTTAGCCTCTTACTGTAGTCAGAACTTTTGCCAAATTTGTTAAGTCCTCAGTTGATGCTCAGGGTATCTGCCATGCAGATACCTCCTAAATTTGATTAGTCCTTTCTCCTTTATCAAAGCTTTTCACTATTGATATAAATATAATTTGATTTTTTGAAGCCTGTTTTCCACCATGGTTTAAAAATCTAAACTCATTGGATCATTTATCTTTTAGATCATTAGTTTTAAAACTTATTATTCTCATTAACTTGGACAGTTAATGAAATAGTTACCTTTATTTTATTTTATTTTTTTTTTAAAGATTTTATTTATTGATTGATGAGAGACACACAGAGAGAGAAAGAGGCAGAGACACAGGCAGAGGGAGAAGCAGGCTCCATGCAGGGAGCCCGATGTGGGACTTGATCCTGGGCCTCCAGGATCACACCCCTGGATGAAGGTAGCGCTAAACCTCTGAGCCACCCGGGCTGCCCAAATAGTTACCTTTAAAAAAAAAAGTTTTTTTTTTAAAGATTTGTTATGACCAAAACACTGTATAGTGCCTGTCCTTGAGTAACATAGAATATAAAAGTTTGATGTTTGCATCTGCTTCCTGCAGATGCAAGTTCTCAAACAGAACTTCTCTTTGGCAGTTGGAGCAAGTTACAATTGTAATTACACAAGTCACCAGAGTGCATCCCATAGCCATGCTTTCTATTAAGGAATTTATAGAAATGCTTAGTAAAAACAATTTAAATTGCTCTTCTGGATTGTTCCATACTTTTTTGGTTTTGCCAGATGATTTATTTTATGCTGCCAAATTGTGTCATGTACTCTCGGAACCTCCTTCTCTTTAAAATTTGTTAGCAGGAGTTAACATTTATCCTAGTCATTTCTTAACCTTCAGGCCATAACAATTTGACATGGCATTGGGAGAGCGGTCTTTGAACAAGTGGCCCCAGAACATTTTCTGCAGCCTGTAATTACCCTGGACTCATTCTAGAGACCATAGGAGGTTTCCTAGGACCTCTGTAGAGATTTAAAAATGTTAATGGTGTCATTATTGAATTGGTATGTAACACGGAGTTCATGGTTCAAAAGAGTAAACTGTGAACCATTAGATTGGATGGCCAGGGTTAAAGACACAGAGATCCCTGGAGTTAGGGAAATACTAGTAGCTGGGATCCATTATCCAGGGTGCAGACTTCAAGGCTCCCCACAGATAAGTAGCACTTCCTTCTGTCCCCCACAGCTTCTTAGTTGGCCTTTAATAGGAGGCTTACCCCCTGCTTACAGGGCCACCTCGCTGTCCGGTGTGGAGGGTACCATCATATTGTGCTCTGTGAGTGGTCTCTGCAGAAGTTGTCCCTTGTGTAGCCTCAGGGACCATTTGTGACAACCCTGCTTGTACTTACTCTGCTTCTCTATTGAAGCCTGCTGAGAGATTCAGATGTACAGAGCAGCATCAAGTAGAGAAACCGGAATACCGGTGGTATAAAAGCATGATGCCAATGGAATACCTGATACTTTTCTGGTCACTAACATTGTTAAACATCCAAGGAAGAGAATAACATTTGGCGAGAGCAGCTATAATAGCCAAGGACATGTCAGGGATTAGTATTTTTTATCCCAGAAGGGTGAGGTGTGAGAATCCAAGATAGCAGTCCCTGAAACCTTCATGACCAGAGTATCTTATATTTATATGGGCTGTGAAATAATCCCTGGCACCTTCAGGGATTCGGATTTCACAACTAAGGTAGGATACAGGTGGTATATTAGCTTCACTGTTTTAGAAAAGTCACATGATATTAAAGGACCTTTTCATGTTCTGACTTTGTAATCTGTGTTTTGGTTTTATATGTATTCCTTCTAGTCTGGATCCTCAAAAAGCTTGTTATTCACTTTGGAGTTGTGGACTTCCTGGAGAAGCGCTGCCTCGTGTGGTGGCAGGCTGTAGAGCACTTCCTCAGGGAGCGGCAGGAGGCTCTCGCACCCTGGCCAGTTGTTGGGCTTGGAAAATTCTTGTTAAAAGTTGATAGCAAGGTATTGTGTTTTAAGAACATGGGCTATTTTAATGGAGTGTGTATATATATATATATATATATATATATATATATATATATATATATATATACACACACATACATTTTCCCCCATTTCATGGTATCTGTTCATACTGTGATTGTTGACAATACATTTAATGTCTAAATCTGTGATGAGATTTAAAATTTAGAATTATGGCTTGCTTATATAAGGATAAGATAGATTTAGTTTAGCTTAGTATTGTGTAAGTAGTTTTCCCTCTTAAAAATAGGAGAAAAGGATGTTATGGGACACCTTGTTCAACTCCTTCATTTTATAAAAACCAAATTGAAATCTAGAGGGGAAATTACCTGCCTAAAATTATATCACCAGGTAATGCTGCCTCAGTTCAGTATTTCTGGAGTAATTTCCACATGTCAGATAATGTGGAAAATCCACTGAGTCACAGGAAACTGGATGTAGAAGCTCTGGTTAGTGGAGAGACAGCAAGCCATTAAAATTTAGAGGCTGTGTTTGAAAGCATGGACCCTGATTCCAAACTGGTTTCAGATCCCAGTTCCACTACTTACTAGCTCTGTGACCTTGGATGAGTTTCTTAACTTTTCTGTGCCTTGGTTTCCTTATCAATACAATAAATATAATAGCGTGCCTCTTGTAGAATGGCTCTGCAGGTTAAGTGAGTTCATAGCTGTACAATTTCTAGGTCAGAGGCTGTATATAGTAAGCTCTGTGTAAGTGTTAGCCATGGTTTTAATTTGTGGATGAAAGAAGGTACAGGATACAGTGGTAGTACGGAGCAAGAAAGGACTTACGGCAGGTGAGGCAGTGGGAGAAGGGAGGTTTTGCAGAAGAGGTGATGCCACAGCAAACTTTGAAGTATAAGTAGGAGTTTCTTAGAAGCTGACAGGGCAAGAAGGACAGGTGATGGAGCAGTGCAGAGATGGAGACTGCCGCAGCATGACTTCTTAGCACCAAGGAAGCAGTCGTGACTGGGATATATGTAGACGGAGGCTGGGGAGGCAGGCTGAATCAAGGTCCTCGTGGGTGCTGTGCTGTATGAGCCGGACTTCCTCAGAGAGCATAGTAACTGCTTCCCTGAGCAGGCCTATCCACGACTTCAGGATAAGAAATATTGGTAGGTGAAACCAGCGTAGAGAGGGGTGACAAGGATAACTGGGGTTCACGAGAGGTGGAAGGAAATAAATCTTTTAAACCCATCATAAAATCTCCTGGGGCAACAGAGAAGCAGGGGGATGTGTTTTACGTATTGCCTTTCAGTATTTTAGTTCTCATCAGTGCAACAGAGGACAATGCCCATTTCCTGAGCTCTTGCCAATGCTAGATAGCATAATGTAACAAAAAGTCCTTTTCAGTTTCATAAAAAGTATCTCGGAGTTGTTTTAAATTGAAATTTAAAAAAATTAAAATGAGGTTGCTTATTGGGTATTTATATTATATTTTATTTTGTGATTTGCCTGTTTGTATTCTTACCTTTTTCAAGTTTTAAAATAAGAAAGAGTCTAAGACTTCTCACAGATTTTAACATATTTATCACATCTTCCTGGTAGTAGGGTAAAGCTTTGTCTTACCAGAGCAGATAGAGTCCTTCAGACTGTTTAAATAGAGCAACTCTTATTTCAGTTAACTTCTGACAGCCTTACCACTGTCAGAGGGGATGCACGCTGAATCTTGTTTGCAGAATCCGGCGTACTTGTGTTTGGAAAACTTCACTTAAGACCAACTCTATAGACGTGTCAGTTGAAGTTCCAGGGGTATCAGAAGTATTTGTTATGGAGTAGAGTTTTTTTTTTTTTATGGAGTAAAAATTTTTCATTTTTTATTTAGATTTGTATGCCAATTTGTCCTTCTTAAGGACAATAAAATGAATAAAACTAGCTTTTTTGGCTATAATAATAAAAAAATATAAAAATATTCTGATAAATATATCAGAATAAATGGCTATTACAAACTGAATATTTGTCTAATTATAATTCATGCTGTAATTATGTTCTGTCTAGTATAATAATATATATGAGCTGCTGCTTTGGAGAGTAAATCTATTTTTCATGTTTCCGTTAAATTTTGATTGATCAGACTAGTGTTTTTGAAAATATTCCTCTACGGGAGATGGTTTAAAAGTATAGTTTTAAACATGCATTGAATGTACTTTTAGTAAAGACTCTGCAGAGAGCATTTACAGTTTCTCTGATGAAATTGTTTTTATATCACTAGTGATGCCTTAAATTCTATGTTTAGTGATTTTTACCTCACGTGTCCACTAACTAGCATTAGTTATTACAGTGCTAAATATTGTGAGATATTTAAATGAGGTAACATATATGTGAAAGAAAGGATGTTACATAAGGTAGAAGTCTGCCAAAAAATTGAGATGGAAGGAAATACACCAAATTTTAGCAGAATCTTAGATTTGTCAGTGAACACCTGGTGTTCCAAATGAGCACTGAAGTATTTTACTGTTTAAAAAATTTGAAATAACCAATACTGTAAAGCTACAATTACAAAGTTCAATAAGCACATAGTATATGAACATGAGTTAATTTATTTAGGGACTAAAATTTTTTTTTGGTGCATGATATGTGAAAGGATCTTAATTATTATTTCAACTTTTGGAATTTGATATAACTAAGCTGACAAGCATTCAGGTTATTTTATATATATATTTTTTTAATTGTTGAATTACCAACAAAGCTTGTAGTTATTTCAATCATTATGTATCTTAAACGAATACTATATTCACTTAATTTTAAAACTTTGTTAATGCAGTACAATTATTTTTCTAGGTTTTTTTTTTTTTGTCTAGGATTATTTTCCTCCTCATACTCTCGGTGACTTTCTTTTCTTTTCATACTATTATTGCATTCTCTAATGATATTCCACTGTTCTTATCTTCCCTTTCTTACCTTACCCCTGTCCTCAAGCTCTGGCACTGGCTAAATAAGAAGGTAAATGAACACATGGATGTTGGTTTTTTACTATTGAATTCTGTAACTTCCCCCTGTATCTCCTTTCTCATTCTGTTTCTATCCATATGTCAAAACTAGTTTTTGCTTTTAAAGTTCAAATTAATAAGCTATGGAAGGTCGTGAAGTATTGATACCGTCACAGTACACCTTGCTAAACACCCAAAGCTATTTAGGATATATGATTGCTGTCTCCTTGCCCAGGTGTGTGTAAGAGGTTCTGTCTTATAGTCTTTTTGTCCACTGTGAGTGATTGCCTCATTTTCAGCTCTATAACGTGGCTTGACCTGATACTCTAGTCTCCTTTGATGTGTGAGAGCACATTAGGTAATAGTTCTCCAGAAGGAAAGGGAACTTTTTTTTTTTTTTTTTTAAGATTTTATTCATTTGTTTGAGAGAGAGCATGAACAGGAGGGAGAGGCAGAGGGAGAGAGGCTCCCTACTGAGCAGGAAATAGGACCAGGGGCTCCATCTCAGGACCCCGGGATCATGACCTGAGCTGAAGGCAGGTGCTTAACCTATGGAGCCACCCAGGTGTCCTGGAAAGAACTTTTTATTGCTACTTAAATGACAGGAATTTTTTAAAAAGATCAATCTGTGAAATATTTGATACACTTGGCTGGTTATTTTATATAGTGCCTTTTTTTTTTTTAAGATAGTATTCTAGGATTTCATTTTTAACTTAAAAAGGATCCTGGTCCTGGTCTTTGACCTTTAATTTCATCTATTTCCCAAGGTATGAGGTTGTGTGTATGGTGAATGCTTCACATGATTTGCATGGAGTAGGTACATTGTTAATAACTTCGATAAAGGTTAGTTAATCCAGATAAATTAGGAGTGCCGTACTTCTGACATATAGTCCACATATAGTAGTTGTAGACTTAAATTCATCAAATCCCTAGGATGGATAGCAAGAGATGACACTTATTATGTGTATTGTGTTTAAACACAACAAGACTCTAAAATTTTCAGTGGAAATAATATACAGGCCTTAAGAAAGATGTGGCACTTCTTAGAAATAGATCTCTACACTTTTGAGTGTAGAGATTAGGATTTTCTTCTTTCTGTTGAAGAAGAAGAAAAGGGAGACTTGACAATGCCTAAACTTCTGAATTTTTGATTGAAAATAAACTGTGTGAAATAAAAAGATAAATACACTTGCCAACTGACCACCCTGCCCCCTGCCCCCACCAACATATATGCTATTGTCTGTGTCTCCATTCCCTGCAAAACTAATATGAATAAATGAATTCAATCCTTGGCAAATGATAGTGTTGCAAACAAAAGTCACATTTTCTTATTTTGATCAAAGTAGGTGGTTTTAAACATTTCTCCAGCTTTTGTATATTGAAATGAAATTGTCCTCAAGGGATAAAAGGAGAGCTAAAGTCATTAGGTTCAATTTGATTTAACTTTTGGGGCTACATGAGTTAGATTACCTAATTTAGGAGCCTAATTCGTAGCTCACCAGTTTTGACTCAGTTTAAAAAGATTCCTAAGAGATCAAGTGATGATTTCCTTTCTTTGATGATTCCATGGTGTAGCATAGGTGGAGAGCAGGAGTAATTGCTTTAAGTTCTGGGACTGTGCATTCCAGGAAAGCACATAAATAAGTTGAGGTCTATTTTCTTACATTACATCCAAGGTCAGAAAATTTGCAGCACTGGGTATTTGGTATTTCAGTTTCAAGTGGGGTGAACTAGGAAAATAATTCAAGTGAAGTGAGGGTGAGAGAGAACATTATCTATGGTTAATTGAGACATAAGGCTTGTTTTATTTTTTAGTATTGATTATTTGCACTAAGACTCAACGAGAATTTGGTTTAAAAAAAAAAGCAAAATGGAAGCCTACAGGCTCAGACTAATGAAATAGAAGAGAAAGCTCAGTAGTGGAACGATACATTCTTAATAGCTTGCTATAAATGAAGCCAGTTTAGAAGTTTCAAAGTCTTGCAGTATACTATACATTTACTGACTTCTCTAAATTTAAAAAAATGCATGCCCTTCTTTCACACTTGAAACATTCAGAATGTCATTTTTAAATTACCTCCCTTCCTCTTTAAGAAAATAAAGTTTAAAAACTAAAATAATTTCTCAGAGCATAGAGGGCCGGGAGATCACCAGGGACAGTGTGGCTTCTACAGGCAGGCAGTAATGACAGCTGATGGCAGTGATGACAGGTGGTGTGGATCCTGCTGCCTAAAGCTGAGCATGGCACAGGATCTGCCCCCGGCATTTCTTTAGGAATTCTCTCCTCCATTCTCTTCTGCTTCTCCATTGCTTCTTACATACATATTTCTCCTTCTATGTCTGAGTTTCTGTTTTCTCGAGAGTCTTGTTCCATTTACTCTTTCCGGGAGTTCTTTTCCTCTATGTAATTTTTCTGTCGCTTTGTTGTTTCTTTTTTATTGGTTGGTCCTTTGTTCTATACACCAACTACCCCCAGCCACGCTTTTTTTCCCTCCTGTTTTTGCTTTTTATTTATTTATTTTATTTATTTATATCTAAAGATTTTATTTATTTATTCATGAGAGACAGAGAGAGAGAGAGAGAGAGAGAGAGAGAGAGAGGCAGAGACACAGGCAGAGGGAGAAGCAGGCTCCATGCAGGGAGCCTGACGTGGGACTCGATCCCGGGTCTCCAGGATCAGGCTCTGGCCTGAAGGCAGCGCTAACCCGCTGAACCACCCGGGCTGCCCTTGTTTTGATTTTTTAAAGAAAATCTCTCTTTATTCTTTAATAAGTCTTTCCCTTTCTTTCCCAGTCTTCTCTCTCTCTATTTACCTGTCTCCCTTTTTGTTCTGTATTTTTACCTTACCTTAGCTAGCCATAATGTGAATGGATTCCCCCTCTCCACCTTTTTTAGTTCATGTACTGAGCATCTTAAATGGTTTTATTTATTTTAAACTTTGAATGAAACATCTAACCCTCACTGTTACCCTTGAAAATAAATTTTTATTTTAGGTAATTGTTAGTGTGGATTTTCCCCAATCCTTAGGTATTTTATTTGGCTTCTGATAGAAAAATTCTACCCTGATTTAAAAACAAAGTTTGGTTTTGTCATGTTAATATACCTAATGTGTTTGTGAATTCCATGTTTTATATGTGAGAAATACCCAGACTTACATTTAGATATACTTTATAAATAAAGTATGTTTACATTAAAAAATGTATTTCAGAATAGACATTTTTTTTTTAAACAATTGGGGCTTCCAAGTTATTTTTGGAAATTGTTAATCTGTGAATACAAATCTGTTCTTAATTCTGAAATTATTTATGTTTGTCTGTTTATATATATATTTGAGCTTTTACCATGCGTCATGCACTGTCAGGCTTGGGAACTACATACAAAGAGGAACAATACAACACTAGCTCTTTCCTCAGGACACTGTCTCAAGAACCATGTGCAGAGCTGGTTTCTGATTGTAAAACTTTTCAGTTTCATTGATTTTAAAATGTACATTCAAAATATGACATCTGACCTTCCATATCTTAGAAACTTGTTACTACTTTATTTTAATCTCTGCATTGTCTCTGATGCTTTGGTAGCATGCACTGAAAATTAACTCTTCTGTTTGAAGCTGTAATTGTCAAGAGAAAAGATGAACTTTTTAATCTTTGGGTTCACTGCAGCGTTGCTCTCTTAGTAACAGTTATCTTTCATAAAAGATAAAGGGATGCAAGCTTATAGCATGGAATGGGAAATAAATGTTTTAGAAGTCATGTTTTGTTTTTAACCGCCATTCTTTGCTCTTGTATGTTTTAACTCACTGGAGAGCATAATTCAGATATAAATTAAGACTAACCTATTCAGCAATGCTGTAGTTTATGTAGGGGTTGAGGGGTGCAGTATGGTGTTTCTATTTGATTTTATTTTTGAAATGTTAAACGGTAGCTCTGTATGGCAGGAATTTTAGAAATCTGTCAGAATTATTACAAATTCTGAAAACAAAAATTCTTTTTAAATGTACAATTATTTGTGACTGTGAGAGATGAGAGAAGTTATACTCAAAATGGAATGTTTTTTTAGGGAGTATTCAGGGAGAACATAATTATAATTATTGATTAAGGAATAAGCATTACGGTAATGTTTATTCTTTATTTACAGTCAATTTGTCCTAAAGCTTATGTTTTAAACAGAATGGAAATTTCAATGGAATATCCTATTTCAAAAAGTATTTTGTTATGAAATATTTCAAATATAAAAAAGATGTAAAGAATATCAGTGAAACTGTCCTCCAGCTTAATAAAGCATTACTGTATAATTAAAGCCCATTTTATATGCCTCCTGATTTAGCATCTACCTCCTCACCTCCCCCCGCCTCCAGGGTAATATTCTGAAATTGATACTTATCATTACCTTAATATTAGATTTTTTATTATTACTGTTTTTATAACCTTAATGGCATCAAAGGGAAAACCATATTTTGAATGTAGTTCCTATTTTAATTTGTTCCTATTTTGCCTACATAATTTAGGGTATACCTCTTTTGTTAGAGGCATACTTTTTCTAAAACCATCTATATTTGCTAATTGACAGCAAAATTTCATGAGATTTGAGGTCAGCTAATGTATTATCATTATTTTTCATTTAAATATTTTACTTCATTTAGAATATTTACCAGATTGTAAATTACATTTTGAAATGTAAATATACCACTGTATAGGAATTCAAAGGTAAATATAAATTATGTTCAAATTGACTACCTTTTCTTAGAACAATAATAAACTCTTTGTATAACAGCAGTAATTAATGCTATTAGTTAATTTTCTGAAGTTGCTTACAGCTTTCACTGCTTTAATCATTATGCCATAGTTTGATTTGCAATGCTGAATATCCTATTTTGTCTTGATATTTGAATATGTATGCATTTTTATTAAGTTGTGCTTGAAAGATAAGTAATTCTCTTTTTCGTTTCTGTGCAGATGATCATCTGGTTGGAGAAGATGTTAGACAAAATAATAAGCATTTTCATCATATTTTTGTTAGTGATAGGAACCCTTCTTTTAGCCCTACTCCTGACTGCAAAGGTAGAGTATAACAATTACTACTGCCATTAAAAAACTCTTGTTTTTATATGCAGGGGTGCTGCATGACTCAGTCAGTTAAAGCCTCTGACTCTTGGTATGAGCTCAGGTCTTGATCTCAGGGTTGTAAATTTCAAGCCCTGCGTTGGGCTCCATATTGGGCATGAAGACTACCTAATAAAGAATTATAGTATGTATAAGAAGCTGGCAGAAGCTGCCAGGGAAAACTTACCTTGTTATATATAACGATTAAATTATTTATGATTTTTACATTATGAGTTTTGCCATGAATTTACCTACTTTATATTTTCTTATGTGCATTTCAATTTTGTTACCAAAATGCTCAGATATGATGGCAGATGAAGAAATTGAGATAGTGAAGAATAAGTGGCTTCTTTGAATGGGAGAACTATTTTGGTGAAAATGACCATTCAGTTCTACTTGTGTAGGTGAAAAATTTCAGGATCATCCTTGACTTCATTCTTTCCTTTTGTATCCCCTTCATCAAAAAATCCTTTTTGGCTTCATCTTGGGGTAATACCAGGGCAAGGATGTCATAATTCCTTTCCACTGAAAGCAAGATCAAAACAGTATAAAATTATTAAAAACCCTCTGACACTTGAGTGGCTCAGTCTGTTAAGTGTCTGATGGTTCAGATCATGATCCTAAGATCCGGAGACTAACCCCCGTGTTGGGCTCCCCACAGAGCAGGTAGTCTGCTTCTCCTTCTCCCTCTGTTCCTCCTCTTGCTTGCATGCATAAATCAATTAATCAATCTTCAAAACAGTTACTAAAATACATATCAGGGCATTGGAAAACCATCAGGCAATGATTTGAGGAGTATTTGCTCATTAAAAACTGTTACTGTATCTGGTAAAACAGGTAGTTTGTGGCTTTCTTGCTTGGAGTTTTTCTAATCCCGCATTGGGTAGGCAGCAGAAACCTTCAGCTTTTCCTGTGGGAGGTGGTAGACTTGGTTTGGGGCTGACAGGAGAGCAGCTGTAAATTAAAGGGGTGATTCTGGAAGCAAGAGAGCCATGGATGGCTTAATAATAAGATTAACAAACCATATATCCTAAATTGATATACGGGAGCCTGCAAGGAGCCCTGTGAACTTTGAAAACCTGGGAGGATTTGCAAATTGTGCCTTTGATTGCATTTCTCAACTCTTACATATCTTAGGCTGCAGAGGATGAAGATTCCTATTATGAAGTATCTGAGCATGATTTCTGCCAAAATCATTTGCTAACCGCTAAGGTACACAGGTTCAAGGGAAGACTTTAGGGTTTAAAAAAATAATAATAAAAAACACTCAGCAGAAACATCAGTGACAGGGAAGGCAGATTTTGTAGCTTGACTACAGATAAGTTAATTGCTTACTGAAGCAAACAACAGCTCTCAGAAGAACAAAACAAAATCCAGAGTTGTTAGAACACATTTCTAAATGTGGAATTATTAACCAGAAATTATTAGACACAAAAGAAACAGCAAAGTGTGACTTGGAGGGGGGCGGGGGAAAGCAGCTAAAGAAGTGGGTATTTAAGTAGCCAAGATGTTGCTTTTAGCAGCTATTATAAATATATTTAAAAAAAATTAAAGGAAAGTATGCTAATAACATGTAAACAAATGGAGGTGCTCAACATAGAAATGGAGACTATAAAACAGAAACAAATAGAAATCCTAGAGCTGAAAAGAGCAATAACAAATGAAAAATTTACTAGACAGGCTCTACAGCAGATTTGACATCCAGAAAATAAAGTGAATGAATTTGAAGAAAGATCAGTAGAAAATGTCCAATTTGATGAACAAAATATTTTTTTAAATGGTGGATGAGGAGAGACTCAAACATTTGTAGGACAATATCAAAGATTCTAGTAGACATGGAATTGGTATCCCAGAAAAATGAAAGGAGAAAGAGAAGACTAGAAAAAATATTTGAAGAAATAATGGTCAAAAATGTATGAAGTTTGATGAAAAACATTAAAATAGCCAAGAAGCTCAACAAATGCTGAGTGGAATAAATCTCTACAAAACAAAACCATACCTAGACACTCATCATAGTCAAACTAGTAAAAGCCAAAGAAAAAAAATCTTGAAGGAAGCAAGAGAAAAATTACACATCACACATAGGAGAACAACAAAATAAATAATGACTGACTTCTCATAATAAACAGTATCACAAGACATTGGAATGATATATTCAGTCTTGGGGGGATAAAAAAACTGGGCAACCATGAATTTTATAATCAGTGAAACTATAAAAGTAAATCCAAAATAAAAGTAGTTCTAGATAACCTAAACTGAGAATTTGTGAATAGCAGACCCACACTATAAGGAATGCTATAGGAATTCCTTCAGACTGAGAAGTGACTCCAGAATTAACTTTATCCAAAGGGAGGAGTGAAGAGCACTTGGTAAATATGTAGGTATATATAAAAATTATTTCCCCCCTTTTTCAATTTATTTAAACAACAATTATTTAAAGAAAAGTAACACTGTATTGTAGAATTTATAATGCACAGAGATGAAACTATATGCATAACCATAGCACAAAGAAGACTGGGAAACAATTATAGTGGTATGAAGTTCTTATAGATATTTTATTGGAAGTCACCATTAAGTTGAGGTGGTCTGTGACAAATTAAAGATGTGGTAATCAGGATGCCTGGGTGGCTCAGCAGTTGAGCATCTGCCTTTGACTCAGGGCGTGATCCCGGGGTCCAGGAATTGAGTCCCACATCGAGCTCCCTGCATGGAGCCTGCTTCTCTCTCTGCCTGTGTCTCTGCCTCTCTCTCTGTCTCTCTCATGAATAGATAAATAAAATCTTTTTAAAAAAAAAAGATGTGGTAAGATTAAGATGAATAGCAACCACTAACAAATTTTAAGAGGCAATTAAATGGTATACTAAAAAAATAGTTGCTTAACAAAGAATAACAATAGGGATGAGGCAGAAAGCAAATCACAAAATGGCAAATCTTTTTTTTTTAAATTTTTATTTATTTATGATAGTCACACACACAGAGGAGAGAGAGAGAGAGAGAGAGACAGAGACACAGGCAGAGGGAGAAGCAGGCTCCATGCACCGGGAGCCCGACATGGGATTCGATCCCGGATCTCCAGGATCGCGCCCTGGGCCAAAGGCAGGCGCTAAACCGCTGCGCCACCCAGGGATCCCACAAAATGGCAAATCTTTTTTTTTTTTTTTTTTTAGTTTAAATTCAAATTTATTTTTTTTTAATTTTATAAATTAATTTTTATTGGTGTTCAATTTACCAACATACAGAATAACACCCAGTGCTCATCCCGTCAAGTGTACCCCTCAGTGCCCGTCACCCATTCACCCCCACCCCCCACCCTCCTCCCCCTCCACCACCCCTAGTTCATTTTCCAGAGTTAGAAGTCTTTATGTTCTGTCTCCCTTTCTGATATTTCTCACACATTTCTTCTCCCTTCCCTTATATTCCCTTTCACTATTATTCATATTCCCCAAATGAATGAGAACATACACTGTTTGTCCTTCTCCGGTTACTGTGGCCAAGTTCAAAAAGGGTGTTGCCTGAGTTCTCCTCTGGGATTTTGATGGAATCTTGTCTCACATTTAGATCTTTCATCTATTTTGAGTTTATCTTTGTGTATGGTGCAAGAGAGTGGTCCAGTTTCATTCTTCTGCATGTGGATGTCCAATTTTCCCAGCACCATTTATTGAAGAGACTGTCTTTCTTCCAGGGGATCGTCTTTCCTCCTTTATCGTATATTAGTTGACCATAAAGTTCAGGGTCCACTTCTGGGTTCTCTGTTCTGTTCCATTGATCTATGTGTCTGTTTTTGTGCCAGTACCACACTGTCTTGATGACCACAGCTTTGTAGTACAACCTGAAATCTGGCATTGTGATGCCCCCAGATATGGTTTTCTTTTATAATATTCCCCTGGCTATTCGGGGTCTTTTCTGATTCCACACAAATCTTAAAATAATTTGTTCTAAGTCTCTGAAGAAAGTCCATGGTATTTTGATAGGGATTGCACAAAATGGCAAATCTAAATCCAGTTGTATCAATGCATATATTAAATTGGAGGCAATTAAATCATCAAGTGGCAGAGATTTTTCAGACTGGGTATAAAATGGCAAGTTCTGGCTAATTGGTATCTATAAGTTATTTAACCTTTAAATTCAAAGCAATAGAAAGGTTGATAGTAAGAGAATGAAAAAAGGTACACCACACAAACTGTAAACATAAGAGTTGTAGCGTGATTATATTAATATTAGACAATGTAGTTAAATATTACTGAAGACAAGAAATGTGGGCTTTTCATTATGATAAAGGAGGTGATTCTGTAGTACAATATGGCAGTTTTAAATGAGTATGTTCTTAGCAGTAGAGCTCTAAAATATGTAAAGCAAAATATTCAGAATTAAAAGGAGAAATAGATAAACCAGTGATTGTAGTTAGGGATTCAGTAATACTCGTCTTGCAATAATTGAGAGAATAAGTAGATAGCAAATTAGTAAGAATATAGAAGTCTTGAAAAACACTATCAACCAATGTGAAATGACAACAGGAGAATCATGTTCTTTCGAGTAAACATGGAACGCACCAGGATAAATGATATGCTCAGTGTGCCTAATTTAAAAATAGTAAAATTCAGAGAATGTTCCCTGAAACTGACTTGTTTCTTTTTATCCCTCTCCTGTTTTAAAAAATTAATTAGCTAATTAATTTCAGAGGGGGAGAGAGAGAATCTGAAACCGACTCCATGCTGAGTGGGGAGCCTGACTTGGGGCTCAGTCTCAGCCCTGAGATCACTGAAATCAGTAGTCGGGCAGTTAACTGAGCCATCCATGCATCCCTATTCCCCTCATTTTGTTGGAAAAATCTGAGATGCAGTTTCAGCTGGCTTTTTTTTTTTTTTAAACTCAGAAACCTTATTGAATTCCTTATTTTCTTGTGTCTCACATTGCATCATAATTCTTTAAGCTTATGCAGTGTTGATATTGGTTACTTATACTACAGACACGTGTGTGTGTGAACTGAATGTGCTTGTCTTGTGTATAAGTATTTAGATGTATCTTTTTATATAATTTTTCCTGAAGTTGTTGAGCTTCTTGAAGTCAGGGAGCTATTGTATACTTTCTATTTTCCATAGTGTCATAGGGCATTATCTATAATAGCTGTTCAGTACAGGTTTCTAAATTAATTGAAACTAAGATGTGTAATTATTTGTTTCTAAAAGCATTGTTCCAATAGTAGTGTAAAAAATGTTAAATTTGGCTCATTTTTTATTGAGATTCTTTTCTCTCCTATCCATAATACAGGTACATCAAGAGAGTGTACACATGATTGAAGTCACAAGCAATTTGATAAATGAGACTCTAGCAAATCACCCTGAGTGGGCAAAGTAAGAATATTATTTTGGCAAAAATAGAAATGGATGTCCTAGGTTCATTATGTATTTGGATGAAATTGATCTTCACTGATGCAGCTACTTTGGAAGAGAAAAGCTTTGATGACTGTTGTCATTGCTATATAAGAATGGCATGTATTGGGGGATGAGGGAGAGGGAAGTACCTAAGATTTTGGGAACAGTTTATGGTAAATGTCTTTATATTTGAATTGAGATTTACAGTTTATAATATGTTTATGGTTTGCAAAGCATTTTCAGCTGTGTCCTGTGTTCCTCACAGTGACTGAGGAGGTTGAAGAGACTGTTCTCATTTCACAGATGAGGAATCAGGATCAAAGGTTAAGCAAATTGAGATAATCCCCCAGTGGTAAGGTCAGCGGTTTTTCCACATCGTGTCATTTTAAAGATTTATTTATTTTAGAGAGCGTGACTGGGAGGAGGGGCAGAGGCATAGGGAGAGAATCCCGAGCAGACCCGCAGTGGAGTGCAGACCCGGATGGAGGGCTTGATCTTGCTACCCTGAGATCATGACCTGAGCTGATGAAACCAAGAGTCCGATGCTTAATGGACTGAGCCACCCAGATGCCCTCATATTGTATTGTATTGTATAGGCAGGGTTGGCAGTCTGTGGCTCAAGGCCAAATCCAGCCACGTGTTTCTGTAAAGTTTAATTGAAACAAACCCATAGCCATTCATTTACCTAGGGTCTATGGCTGTTTTGGGGCTGCAAGAAAGGGTAGAATGGAGTAGTTATAATACAGGTTTTATGTCCCCAGTAGCCTCAAATATTTACTCTCTGGCCCTTTATGGAAGAAATCTGCCAACCTCTGCCTTACAGGACTCTTTCTCTCTCTCTTTAAAATATTTTATTTATTTATTTGAGAGAGAGTGAGCACAAGCAGGGGGAGTGGCAGAGGGAGAGGGAGAAGCAGGTTTCCCGCTGGACAGGGAGCCCGACTTTGGGGCTCCATCCAGGACCCTGGGATCATGACCTGAGCTAAAAGCAGATGCTGAACTGACTGAGCCACCCAGGTGTTTCTTAGAGGATCTTTTTGTGTACTTGCTTAATTTGGCTTTTGTGAGAGATTTTATGTCAGTGTATTGAATTTGATGACAAATGTATGGCCTCTTTTTTTTTTTTTTTTTTACTGACTCCGGGATAGGCACTAATTTAAATTTAAGTAGGAAATATCCTGCCAATTTTAAGGCTGTAAATTGAGATGTAGCTTAATTTTCTCCTTTCAACTGACTTTATTCTTTATGTAAAATCTGCTTGGACATTTCTTGAATTTGGTTAGAATCATATTTGAGGGGATCCCTGGGTGGCTCAGCAGTTTATCACCTGCCTTTGGCCCGGGGTGCAATCCGGGAGTCCCGGGATTGAGTCCCGCGTCGGACTCCCAGCATGGAGCCTGCTTCTCCCTCTGCCTGTGTCTCTGCCTCTCTCTCTCTCTCTCTCTCTCTCTATGTCTATCATAAATAAATAAATAAATCTTAAAAAAAAGAATCATATTTGAATATCCTTAAAAGGATGTCTTTCACAATATATTTCTCTGCACTTATCTCCTGTTATCTACAGCATACTCAAAGTGTTTGTCCTTAGTGTTTTTGGTTAGTTACAAATTGTATATCTGTACAAAGGAATGATACTTAGGATTAAATAAAAATGAACTGTATATGTAGCAGCATGGATGAATCTCAAAATAGTTATAGTGAAAGAAGTCAGACAAAAAAATCATACAATGTGATTCCATTTATGCTAAGTTCTAGGAAATGCAAACTCATCTATAGTGACAGAAGGATCAGTGGTTGTCTGTGGGTAGGAGTGGACTCTGGGAAAGGAGTACATAGAGGCACAAGGAAACTCTTGAGAGTGATAGATAATGTTCATCATCTTGATTAAAGATAGAAGAAGAGAAGTGGCATAAACAGACTCATTCTAGAATAATGTTTCCCTCTGTACTGTGGAGAAAACATGACAAGGTACAAGATTTGAGCCTTTTAGACCAGTTAAAATTTGGAGTAAACCAGATGAGAGATGATGAAGCCCTTAATTATGGACAGTTGTGGAAATGAACAGGATGGACAGATTTATAAGACCTTAAGGTGGGTGGTTGGTGATTAATTGGATATAGTTGGAAAAAATCTAGCATTGTGTTTCTGGCTTTGGAAGTTAGAAGATGATGGTAGATTCACCAGCATAGTAAATAGAGGAGCAGATACGGTGGGAAAAAGAATTCACTTTTTTACTTGTTGAGTTTGAAGTGCCGATGATAAGTGTAAGCATCCAGTAGGCCATTGGCTATGTTGGTGTGTAGTTCAGGAGAGAGTTCTGGCTTGAAGTTAAAAGATTGGCAGCCTTGATATCTCAGTGGCTCCCCTTCTTCAGTGGTTATTCTTCTGTAGTGGAAACAAGTCTAGAGCCCCTCTGTACTGGTTTTCAGTTGCAATAGGACTATCTCTGCTACTGTATTAAAGGCACATATAATCTATGGAGCTCCAGATCAGAGTAGTTTAGAAAGTTGCTTGTTGGGGCACCTGGGTGGCTCCATCAGTTAAGTGTCCACCTTTAGCTCAGGTAATGATCTCAGGGTCCTGGGATCGAGTCCCATGTTGGGCTTCCTGCTCAGTCTGCTTCCTCTCTCTCTGTGCCCCTCCCCCTGCTGTTCTCTCTCTCTCTCTCTCTCCCTTTCTGTCAAATAAATAAAATATTAAGAAATAATAAAAAATACTTGTTTTCATTTTTAAAATTTGAAATACTTCTAGATTCACAGGGCCTGGCAAAGAAAGAGTCCATGAGGAGGTCCCATGGACTCTTCATGCCACCTCCTCTAATGTCATCTTGCATAACTATAATACAATAACAAAACTAGGAAATGGACATTTGTGTGTGTGTGTGTGTGTTTGCAGTTTTATAATATGTGTAGCTTCCTGTAAGCTATCAAGACCATCAAGATACAGAGCTCTTGCATAACCACAGGCTTCCTCATGCTGGCCCTTTTTAGCCAGACCTACAGCATAATTCTGTTGAAATTCATTGAAGATGTTGTATGTATTGCTAGTGTGTTCCCTTTTATTACTGTGTAATATACCATATAGGAAGGTTTCTTTTCTTTTTTTAAGATTTATTTTATTTAAGCACATGTGAGCTGGGGGGAGAGGCAGAGGGAGAGAGAGAGAATCCCAAGCACACTCTGTGCTGAGCAGGACCCCGACTCGGGGTTTAATCTCAAAACCCTGAGATCGTGACCTGAGCTGAAACCAAGAGTTAGATGCCCAACTCACTGAGCCAGGTGTCCCATGTATGAAGGTTTTTTTTTTTTTTTTTTTTTTTTTTTTTTTTTGTATGAAGGTTTTTAAAAGCTGTTTAGACTTTGATGATTTGTGAAAAGTCTTGATTCTTTTGTAGCAGATTAATGGAGGTGGATATGAATACTAATGGCTCTTAAAGTCTGAGTACTCAGTGGATTCCTGTCCTGAAGATGGCAGTTGACTTTGTGGAAAATTCACGTGTGTATACCTAATGGAGGAGAAAGAGTTAAGAATGGGTCTGGGGTGCCTGGGTGGCTCTGTCGGTTAAGTGGCCAACTCTTGGTTTACGCTCTGGTCATGATCTCCAGGTCCTGAGGTCAAACCTGGTATTGGACTCCCCATTCACCGGGAGTCTGCTCTTCTCCCACTCCATCTCCCTCTGCCACTGCCCCTGTTTAGAAGCGCACACACACATACTTTTTCTCTCAAATAAATAAATACATCATTAAAAAGAAAAAATTGATCAGGTACACTTTCTTCCAATGTAGTGCACATTTTTACACCCTGTGTAAGTACCTCGACTTCCCATGAGTGTTTGGTGAGTGTGTTTGGTGACAAAGACAGGACAGGGTCATCTTTACAGAGCTTCATAGAAAATAAAGTTGAAGGTGGAGCACATCTTAATTCTTGCCTCGGATTGTTCTGTTCACTTGGAGTCCATTTCCTACTTTCTGTTAACTAGTCTCAAGCCTGTTGATTCTCATGACCCTCATTAGGAGATGGCATTAAAATGATACTGAATGTGACTTCCCCCTTCCATTACTTGGGAGGAATCCAGGCTAAGCTAAGTTGTTTTTAATTGGTTTTTTCTCTTTGTAGGTCATATCTTGATACAGATTAACCAGGAAGATTGGGGTAGTCCGGGTCAGTTTGTAGGAACTTGATTTCTCCTGAGGGATCCCTCTTAGGGTACAAGAGTTACTGAATGCCTTTGATTGGTATAAGATCAAGGCACATCCACCTTGTCTCAGCCAAGGTTGCTCAGGTGTTTTTGGCCCTTTGTCTCCTAGAGGGCACTCATGTGATCTGGACAGAGCCAAGATCTTTGACTTGGCCTCAAGACAGCTCTTACTATCTGTGGCTCTTAGGACACCTGTGTGAATATGTTGGCAAAGTGTTTTCATAGTAGCCAGCAAGAATTTATCAGGCCTAATAGACACTTGTTAGTCATTAAAGATCTATTCAAATATTAATATGAATCCCCATACTTTAACACTAGAGGTTATAATTTTCCCCATAAAATGTCATGCCAGATAACTGAAAATATTCAGCAGTTCCTTCAAAGCACTGATGAACCTCTAAATACTAGAGTAATTTAAGAGCTACTTAATTTCTCCCAAATCCCATCTCTATTTAAAGATCTCAATTTCCTGTTCACATTTTCATACTTAAATTATTACATTTATAATCAGCTCTAAAGTTTTGTCTTCACTTGTTGAGAAATATTTGAGAATTTGCCAGAAGTTTCAGGAATATTTTATTTGGAGTGTAGGAAGAACTGGTTAATATTAAAGATTAAAACCATTACCAATTTGACATTTCACTTTCTAATGCATCCAAGTGCCTTTTTCTGTGGTTACAGACAAATGCTTTCCTAGACATCACTTTTGTGGCTGTCAGAGGCAGTTGGCTTTTTCTCTTTATGACCATGTGTCTCTCTCTGTCCCTCTCGCACACACACACACAAGCAAATTATCACTTCTGATTTATTATATAAATTACTACAAGTATATAAAATTTCTGTAAATTGAGTATGTTGCACATTTGACTTGACTATTGGATTCTTTCTCATAAGCCAGCTTTGTAGTGTGTGTCATATTTAGGCCTCAGGAAAGTATTTAGTTACTGCTTGCCTTGATCTTTGGTTATCACTCATGGATAGTTGAAATCAGGACTATTAAATTTGTGAATGTCAACATCTCTAGTGTACAAAACTTGGGGCATATGTGTGTTACTGATTAAGGCAGGTGATATAGCCTGTGTAGTTAACAGGATTGCGGGGAGGGAGGCCGTCTCATGGTGCAAAGAGTGAAGCTTGTAGATGCAGCTCCTTGTATAGCTGAAACTCGGCTCAGGAGTTCCTCACATCTTAAAGAAAAAGATCTTCAGTGGGTAAAAAATTGAAAACAATGATTCACCCTCTTAATTTTCCTTGTTTTCTTTCTCAGTTCTTTGCTTGTTAGCCCCAGCCCAGTTTCTTTTTTAGTAGGTCTGGACCTGGGCCCAAGAATTTGCATGACTAACAGGTTTCCAGGCAGTTATGATGCTGTTGGTTCATGGACCATACTTTGAGAACCATTGTCCCAGATACTGACTATCCTAGTGACCCAGAACCACTTCTACTGGTGCTAAGGCAATGACCCAGGACATGTATGGACAGAGAAACCAGGCAGAGCAGAATGAAAGGGAGGTTGTGTGGGAAGTGCGTCTAAAAGTTACGGAAAGCTTGAAGGGAATCTCGAATAGTAGAATTAAGTGTTTAGGCTTGAAGTCAAGGACTCCTGCATGTGATTCATTTGTATCCATGTGTGATGACTCATCAATAATTTGTCAGTTACTGATTGTTTTAAATACATGGAATTCTAAGAGTTATTGATACAGTACATTAAAAATGTACTAGTTTTAATTTTTTCTTTCTTTTTTTTTTTTTTGAATTTTAAATTAGTTGGCTTCCTGAGGCTCAAGTAGTCCAAAGAGCCCTCAATTCTGCAGCTAACAACGTATACCAGTATGGAAGAGAATGGATAACTCACAAGGTAAGGGAAGAGCCTCTCTCTCTGGTTTTTTCTTTGCAGGGTTGTCATTGGTAGGGGCTTCCTGCCTTGATGAAGTATAAATGGAGATTCTCTTTAGAACAGTTTCTGTTTTTTTTTTTTTTTTAAGATTTTATTTATTTATTTATTCTGGGGGAGACACACACAGAGAGAGAGAGGCAGAGACACAGGCAGAGGGAAAAGCAGGCTCCATGCAGGGAGCCCGACGTGGGACTCGATCCCGGGTTTCCAAAATCACGCCCTGGGCCGAAGGCAGGCACTAAACTGTTGAGCCACCCGGGCTGTCCCAGTTTCTGTTTTTGAAATAGGCTTAAGTCTACAAGTCAACAAGAAACATACAAGGAAATTAAACTTTCTGAATGATTGTATTTAGTAGTGCTAGTAGCCTGAACAGAGAGATTGGTCCTTTACTGTTTGTTCATAGTAAGTGTTCATTATTTGTGCATTGGTACAGAATGATCATTAAGATTGGGTGGTCAAATAAGACTTTATGGAGGAAAAAAAGTTACTAGCAAATATTAAATGTTATCTGCTGGTGACTGTGCTTGGCAGTTTCTGATTTGTTTCATTTAATTTTTCCAAGAAACCTGTAGTAGTCTGAATTATTTTGCCTGCTTTACAGAGGAAGAAACAGGCTTAGCAAGGCTAAGTAAATTTCCAGTGGTCATGTAGTAAATTGCAGAGCTTGGTTTCAAACTGAAGAGTAATTCTAAATTATTTATTCTTTCTACTGTAGCATGCTAGAAATACATGCCCAGAACTGGCTTAGGTGCTTTAATGTGTCACTCATCGAGATAAATTGTGAAGGAATGATAGGTTTTAGATGACTGAAGAGAAGGAAGTGTGTATTTTAAGGGGTGATTATGTGAGCCAAGATAAGGATGCAGGAGTATGCTTGAGAACACCTTGTCTGAAGTTTTGTGGAGGGGGGTGAAGGATAGAAGAAAAGACACAGTGCAGGTGAGAGTCAGCCTCCATGATACTGATTTGGGGTACCCCCCCCCAGTATTACCTGTGGAAAAGGTTATTTGGAGTTATAATATAGTGAAGTAATAGGAAACATCTATGGATTGACAAGATTTGTTGCCCATAAAAAAAAGTATCATGTGATTCCTTGCTCAAAATTCAGAAAATAAAATCTCAAAAAAAGTTATCTTGAAAATTACGCATTCGTATAGTAATCGAACGTAAGGATGGAATTTTTATCGAGTAAAAAATTAAGAGAAATGGGACACCTGGGTGGCTCAGCGGTTGGGCATCTGCCTTTGGCTTCCTGCAGGGAGCCTGCTTCTCCCTCTGTGTCTCTGCCTCTCTGTCTCTGTCTCTCTCTGTCTCTCATGAATACATAAATAAAATCTTAAAAAAAAAAAAAAGTTCAGAGAAAGACCTATGTAACTGATTTTCTTGAGTCCATACCAGGTAACCTATTCAAACGTCACATGAAAATCTTTAAAAAATATTTGCTGAGGGATCCCTGGGTGGCGCAGCGGTTTGGCGCCTGCCTTCGGCCCAGGGCACGATCCTGGAGACCCAGGATCGAATCCCACGTCGGGCTCCCGGTGCATGGAGCCTGCTTCTCCCTCTGCCTGTGTCTCTGCCTCTCTGTCTCTCTGTATGACTATCATAAATAAATTAAAAAAAAAATATTTGCTGAGTAAGTAAAATATAAGTTTATGGGTATTGATCTCTTAACTATCAGAGAAGATCCAGCCATTGCAGAAGCCTTTTAGACCACTAGAACTATGTTGTATGATTTACTCTGCTGAAAGCGTGGAATTTAGTTCTTTGGTTTATCTGTTGGAGTTCTGGAATTCTTACCTATTTGGGAAGAGTTGGAGAACTGTGCTTTAGATTTTAGGGAAATGAATTTCAAATTATTTAGAGAAAAGATAGATCTGAAACCTTTTGCTCAAAACTCGAAAAGGGAAGACAGTTGAAGAGAGATGGGTATTGCTAACAAAAGCCATTAACATAGTCATTAGCCTGATTTGGAAGACACGGGGAAAATATCTAAAACCAACCATTGAATGTTCATTGACTGATGAATGGGTAAGTAAAATGTGGTATATCTATATAATGGAATATTATTTGGCCAAAGAAAGGAAGGAAGCACTGATACATTCTGCAACGTGCATGAATCTTGAAAACACTATGCTAAGTGAAAGAAGCTGCAGATCACATACATATGATGCCATTTATATGAAATGTCCAGAAGAAATATATCTATAAAGACAGTAGAGTAGTGGTTTCCGGTGGGGGGGAGGGTGAGGAATGGAGAGAAATGACAGACTGATTGCTGTGAGTATGGAGTTTCTTTTTGGGGTAATGAAAATGTTCCAAAATTGATTGTGGTGATGGTTACATAACTCTGAATATGTTAAAAGAAACCCTTGAATTATATGCATAAGTGGGTAAGATGTATGAATTATCTCAATGAAGTTGTTTTGAAAAAAGAACCATTGAAATTGTAGAGGTAGCTTTTCTTATCTTATCCAGCTATAAAAAATCATATAAAAATTGGGTCCTAAGGAGACTGAATTGTAGAAAGGGTTGAAGCCTGGGGAAAAGGTCACATTCAGGAAAAGAAGAGTTTTTTAGGGTGTGTTTAGGTATGAACAGAGAAGGTTCCTGTCTACCTGCCCCACCCTACCTTGTCAGCTTTATTTCCTGTATCCTCCATGCATTATTTGGTTTCTACCCAGATCTGCTAGTTTGCTGTTTTTTCAAATCCAGTGTACTTTCTTCATTCAGTATCCTTGCTTGAGCTTACCTTTCTGCTTGATATGTTATTTCCAAAATTTGTATCTGGAGATGCTGCCCTGAAACCGCAAGAGAGTAAGTTGTGAATGTGTTTTGAATGTCCCTTCTCCCATGACTAGAATAAAGAAAGTGACAGCCAGTCCATAAATGTGCCAGGCACTGTTGTAAGTGTTAGGGAAAAGCAGTAAATCAGAAAGAGTTACCACCCTCCAGGAGCTTACTCTCGTGAGAGGAAGCAGACGTGAAACAAGTAACCATTGCAAAATTACCTAAAAGTGCTGTGACAAGGTAATATAGAGAGTGATCCAGGGTGATGTATTAGCTAGAATGCCAGAGAATGTCTCTGAGAAGGTGATGCTTTCACTAAGACTGGAGGTCTGGGAAAAGAACATTTCAAAATGAGGGTATAGAAAGGAACAAACTTGAAGGAAAGAAAGAAGGCCAGTATGGCTGGAATGAGGGATGTGGTGACAGGACAAGCCATAGGTCCTAACAAGAAGTTGGGATTTTATTTTAGTTACAAAGGTAAACATGGATTTAAAGCAGAAAGGAATATGGCCTGATTTAGGATATCGAAAGCTCATCTTGGCTGTTCTGTGGAGCGAAGGGCAGGAATGGGGGAGAGGGCAAGGGCCTGGCTCAGATTATTCTGGTAGTCTAGGGGAGATTGTTGACGACTTGGATGAGGATGGTAGAAATGGGAATTGAGAGAAGAAGTCACATTTGGGTATAGTTTTGAGGTTGGTTCTTCTAGGAATTACTGTTTGTAATTGGATACGGAGTGAAAAGGAAAGAAGTTTTCGGTTACCCAACTGTAAGGGTAGCTATGCCACTTCCTGAGATGGAAAGACTTGGAAAGTGATGGGGTCACGGGAGACTTACAGACAGTCAGAATTCTGTTTAGGGTGTGTTAAGTTTGAGATACCTATCAGACCTCTTAAGTCAAGATCTCAGAAAAGGCAATTGGACATATATAGCTGGGGTTCTGGGAAGAGATCTGGGCTGTAGGTGGAAATTTGAATATTGTCAGATAGCACCTATCACTCTACCCATCAGTAGAGATGAACAGTATTAATTTGGTAGCGCTGCCATAACAAGGTACCACAGGCTGGGTGTTCATATAACACAAATTTATTTTCTCATGATTTTACAGGCTAGAAGTCCAAGATCAAGGTGTTGGTGGAATTGGTTTCTTTTAAGGCCTCTCTCCTTGGCTTATAGATGCTTGTGTCTTCTTCACATGCTCATCTCTCTGTGTGTGTCTGTCTCCTAGCCTCTTCTTTTTATGAGGACACCAGTCATACTGGGGTAGGGCCCACCCTGACAACCTCATTTTAACTTGATTACCTCTTTAAATAAAGACTCTATCACCAAATCCAGTCACCTTCTGAGGTCCTGGGGCATTAGGATTTCAACAGATGAATTTAGGAGGGACACAGTTTCTCTCATAACGTGGCCTAAGGAGACAATACAGACAGAAGAGGACCAAAGAGGGATTCCTGGAGCACTCCAGCTTTTGAAAGTCACAGAAGTGAGCCAGTAGAGAAGACTGAGGAGGAGTAACCTGTGAGGTGGGAAGAACAACCTGTGTGTCCTAGAGGCTGAGAGACGTTTCAAGAAAGACTCGGTCAGCGGTGGTAAATTCTGTCAAGGTTCCAAGCAAAGTGAGAACAGAGAACTGCCCACTGACTCACTATCCCCATTTTATAGATGAGGTTATTCGCCTTACATTACCCAGCTCCCAAATGGCATTCCGACTACTCTTAGTGCCTCATTGTCTCTTGTATGCAAAGAGCATCTCATGTACCAACAATAGTATCTGTGCTTTCTTGTTTCTTCTGAAACCTGGGTAGCAATGACGTGACCATCAGGCTCCATGCTCTCTGGCCCAGTCTTCCTTGTGACTTGTGATACGTATTGTAATGTTTCAGGTTTGTGATGTTCTGCTATGGTTGGCGGCACCATAGATTTGAAATGATGCTGAATTCTGCATCAATAGTTGTGGTGTTGTAGAGTTATTCACTGTTGTGTGATGATAAAAGGGATGCAGGTTGAGATAATGCTTTATTGTGGCAAAGGCCACTGTGCAGACAGCTTAGACTGGGGGCTCTTATGATTAAAGGAGGATCTTGGAAACTGAGCGGACAATGACAGAAAGAATTGGTAGTAGGAAGTCTGAGAGTATCTGATATTTGTGATACTTAAAGGACAAATTTAAAGTAATTAAAGGAAATTAAACTGGGGTAATTGTGGCTTTTAGCTATTTTGGGCAGCTTAGGTGTTCTTTGTTCATAGGTTGTATATGCTGTAGTTGAAAGAGTATTTGAGTTTTTAATCCTACCTCTACCAGTTAGTTGCCTGACCTTGGGTCTGTCATGGGTCCTTTCTAAATCTGCTTTCTCATTTTGGAAGAACAAAGGTGATAAAAACCTTTTTTTCTGCCTAACTCTTGGAGTTGTAAAGATCACATAATGTAGGTGAAAGCCGTTTGGAAATTGTGCAATGCTGTGCAAAGATAAATGCCTTTTATTATATTCACTAATTTGTGTTTGGTTTATGAATAAATAAAATATAGAGGAAAACATTGAGCAGGTGTGTTTGCATCAAATATGTCTAAAAATGGTTCAGATATCTATAACAGTGCCAAGTGAGCAAAAGGTGTGGATAGTCCAGGCAAAGGAAAATATACATTGAAAAATGGTCACTCTTGTAACTGAAAAAGAAAAGTATAAATAATTGGTTATGATTTCACACCTATTATCTAAAAGTTTATCAGTCCATAAGTCTTTTTAAAAAGATTTTATTTATTTATCTGACACAGGGAGAGAAAGAAAGAGAGCACACAAGCTAGGGGAGTAGCAGAGTGAGAGGGAGAAGCAGACTCCCCGCTGAGCAGGGAGCTCAAAGTGGGACTCGATCTCAGGACCCTGGGATCATGACCTGAGCCAAAGGCAGATGCTTAACAAGATGAGCCACCCAGGCGCCCAGTCCATAAGTCTTTAGAAAATTTGGTTTATTTAAACAATGTTGGAAAATATTAATTGACACAATCCCTAAAGAAGACAATTTAGCAATGCATAGCATAGCAAGTACCAAAAAAGTCCCTCTTTCCTTTGATTCTTGTACATTTATCTTACTATCAGTAAGAAGAAAGTTGTGTTTAAGGACATTCATTGCAGTGTTATTTGTGACATTAAAAATTGGGAACCATCTCTATCCCATGATTGCATAATGATAAAAATAATATCAAAACTTAATAAACTGGGATGCCTGACTGACTCATTCAGTAGAGCGTGTGACTCTTGATCTTGGGTTTGGGAGTTTGAGCCCCAAGTTGTGTATAGAGATTACTTAAAAATAAAATCTTAAAAAAACCCACAAAACTTAATGAACTAATATGGAACAATTAAAAATAAAGATGAAGGTTAGTGATGAAGAACTCTAAATTATATCTATAAAAGACAGAAAGTTACAGAGGGTATGGAAAAATGAAAACAGTTGTGATAAGGAAGTGGGACTACAAATTAGTATATATTTATTTTTTATTTTTTTTTATTTTTTTTTTATTTTTATTTATTTATGATAGTCACAGAGAGAGAGAGAGAGAGGCGCAGAGACATAGGCAGAGGGAGAAGCAGGCTCCATGCTGGGAGCCCGACGTGGGATTCGATCCCGGGTCTCCAGGATCGCGCCCTGGGTCAAAGGCAGGCGCCAAACCGCTGCGCCACCCAGGGATCCCCAAATTAGTATATATTTAAAAATATATACTTTTGGGGGCATATAGGTCTTTGGGGCACCTGGGTAGCTTAGTTGGTTAAGCGTCCAACTTTTGATTTCAGCTCAGGTCATGGTCTGGGTTGTGGGAAAGAGCCCCACATCAGGCCCTGAGCATGGAGCCTGCTTAAAAACTTATCTTCCTCTTCTGCCTCCTCCCCACTCCCATGCATTCCATAAACAAATAAATACTTTACTGTTATGCTATGTTTTAGTAATAAAACATTGGGTATTATAATGTATAAATTTCCTCAAAGTTGTCTTACTGTACTTGATTCCCACAGACCCTGAAGCCAGTCTCTTTAGTCATAACTCAGAGACCTGATGTCTTTCAGCAAACTATGGGAAATATGTGTGTGTATAGCTCAGGTCCTAAAATTTTACTTGAAGTTCAGTGGTAATTCTTTACCAGTGGTAAATGTAAAATGAGATTTATGTGTAATGGATGAGCACTTGGGCCATCTGCAACGGATTCTTCTCTGGGCAAATAAGATTTGCTAAGTCAGTGATCATGGCTTCATATGTACCATTCTCTTACAACTGGAAGTAGCTCTCGTAGAGACCCCAAAAACAGAGGGAAGCAAAAGGCCAAGAAAGGCAAGGAAATTGGCCAGGAATATTGAAGAGTATAGCTTAAGGAAAGATGATAAGATGGCCTAGAGGCAATTAAATAGTCTGGAACATTTTAGTTTGATTTGGAACAAATGTAAAGACCCAGCATGAATTAATTTTACTGGATTATTGTCTGACATATTAAACCAGATCATATCTGTATTTTTCCAGCTTCATAAAATTCTGGGAGATAAGGTGAACAATACTGCTATGATTGAAAAGCAAGTACTAGAACTTTGGGACAGATTGTACCATTCTTGGTTTGTAAAGGTAAGTTATTTTATTAGAGGATTTCAGTTGTAAATTAAAGTCTTTTTATTTTACAGTCTCATTGACTAGATAGATGTTAATTAGATAGATATTAACATTGGGATATCATTTATTGGAATTTTTAAACTATAAGGTCTTAAACTTCAGGTCACTGAACATTAGATTGATTTGATGGTTCATGTCCATGGCAGAACCCACCAGTCCCCGTGATGTAGTGTTTTTATTCAGTGTTCATCATCTTCAACAGCATCTTACCTTGTTATGTAGAAATGCAATATAAACCACATATATAATGCTAATTTTTCTACTGGCCCCATTAAAAAGCTAAAAATAAACAGGTGAACTTAGTTTTAATAATATTTCACGTATCCCACTATACCCCCATATATTATCATTTCAATATGTAAGCAAGTAGAAAAAAATCTTAATGAGATATTTTAGATCCTTTGTTTTTTTTCTTACAAGACTTGGAAGTCTGATGTATATTTTATACTGATGCCCCATCTCAATTTTTGGTCTAGCTCCATTTTTATGTATTTATTTATTTATTTATAAGATTTTATTTATTTATTTATGAGAGACACACACACAGGCAGAGACAAGGCAGGGGGAGAAGCAGGCTCCATGCAAGGAGTCTGATGTGGGACTCGATCCTGGGACCCCAGGATCACACCCTGAGCCAAAGGCAGATGCCTAACCGCTGAGCAACCCAGCCATCCCTGGAAATTTTTATTTTTAATCACCCTTGCCAGCTGCTTTTGCTGATATACTCTCACTTCAGCATTTATGATGGAAAATACTGTCATTTTCCACTAAATATACAAATGCTGGTTTTGAAAGCAGGCAGTTGTGTGGGGCCATGCTGCACACTGGGTTGGCAGGGCCTGTGGGCCTCCAGGACCCGTGCTGTGGAAGATGACTGTCCAGTGGGGAAGGAGGTAGGCAATGGGACAAGTTGGTGGTCATTTTTCACAGGGTTGACCACAAGGAGAAGAGGACCATGTACATACCAACCTCTTGAGGTGGAAGGGAGGAAAGCTCAGTTTCAGATTTGAATTTGTTGCTTAGTGATCTGTTTTTACTCTTCCCCTGGGATGAATTAAAGGAACAATGTTGGTTTTTGTGGGTTTCAAAGATGGGAGGGAGGTTAGAAATAATTGAGGAATCTCTAGGGAATTATCTGCTGAAGAACTGGTCAGTTGGAAAGGTGGTACCTTTTCCCTCTGCTAACTCTAGGGTTTTGCTTGCAAGTAGTTTTTTCTATCCCTTACCCCCTTAAAAAGCTTCATTTTATAGTCTAGGGAGGTCAGTGGTTTTTTTTTTCTTTCTTTCTTTTTTGTTTGTTTGTTTTGTTTTGTTTTTGAGGTCAGTGTTTTAAAAGCATAGTTTTGTGATAATACCTGAGTGGCTCAGTCAGTCAAGCGTCTGTCTTTGGCTCAGGTCATGATCTCAGAGTCCTGGGATCAGCCTGGATCAGGGAGAAGCTACTTCTCCCTCTACCTCTGCCCCTCCCCACAGCTCGTTCTCTTTCTCTCTCTGTCTCAAATGAATAAATAAAATCTTTAAAAAAATAAATAAAAATATAGGTTTGTAAATAGGTGTATTGTTTTCTTTACATCTTTAGGACCTAATGTTTTCATTGCATAATGAAGAGATATCACTGTGCCATTAGCAAAAGTGTCAGAATGTAAACAAAGTGTTAAAAAACTACTTCTGTTTTTGAATGCTAACCTCACTACTCACTTTGTTTATTCATATCTCTTTCAAATATAATTATTCCTGTATTCTTGTCAGTGTAATTATCTTCCATATAGAAAAGTTAGATTTTCTCCCATTCTTGTTTTTTTTTTTCATTTCCCCCCACATTTTGTTGAGATATAATTGATAGGTAACATTGTATTAGTTTCAGGTGCACTTTATATTCTTTTCTCTTCCTTGCTCTCTTTATCTTGTATGGAAGATTAGGTTGATGAGGAAAGGAGGAAAAAAGCAAAACCCCCCCCAAAAAGGTAGAGGGGCTGAAAAGAAAAAAAAAAAAAAAGCTGTGTTGGTGTATAGTTATATGTATATTGAGGAATAAAGTCTGTTCACAAATGTATTTAGGAAGGGAGCACTTGAGCTAGGCTGACACATGGTATTGAGAAGGTAAACAGGAAAACATATTTCAGGTCTTTAGATGGACTTCTTAGCTGATTTCCTAAAGAATGCAAAATTTCTCACCTTTGAGTAGCTACTAAAATACTCAAGTGGATCTAAACCGAAGTGGGGGTATTTATCCTTTTTATGCTTTGGGCTAAGATGGAAATTTCATGTCTGAACCATTTTATTCCGTAGAACATAACGCATTCTGGAAGACACAAAGGACACAAGATGCATATAAATCGTCAGAATAGCTGGCTGGGAGACATTCTGGACTGGCAAGATATTGCTTCCTTTGTTCACGAGAACATTGAGACATTTCTCTCGGTAAGAAATAGTATTTTTAGTTAAATTGGACTTAGAAATGAAAATAGAAATGCTAATTTCCAGTTTACCTCGCACACTAAGAGGCCTTTAGTTACCCTGTTTTTAATGCCAAAACATCTACAATTTTGAGAGTTCTAAATGCACTAGGTGTCTGAATACTGTAGGCCTCCGGAGCAGTCCCCCTGGTGCCACCTCTGTGGTTGGAGAGTAACTGAGAGATGCTGAATCTGGAAGCCTCTGTGCAGTGTTGTGGACTCTCAGCTTCTCAGATGCAGGTCTCCCTGTCCCCCTACGCTGACTAGAACATCTCCAAGCTGGACCACTAGGGAGAGGACGGCCATTCTGGTGGGTAGAGTCTTTGGCAGATGGAAATACGGTTCCAGTTACGTCAGAGAGACTGGATGTTCTTTGGAGGCTCAGCATGTTATTTTCTGCCCACTCTCCGGCCATGTACCACCCACCTCTCTGCCTCATTTGCTGAAGGTCAAAGGCAGCAAGGAACAGCTTGCAGCACTGATGAAATTTTATGACCCCTCTTGGTTCCACAGTGTGTTTTTAAAGGGTCTTGGCATGTCGCTTTTCACAAGAGATGAGAGGAATTTTCTTATGAATAGACTCATGACTTCCATCACATTAACAAGGGTTGAAGTTTGTAATGCTAGATTTTTTTTTTAAGATTTTATTTTTCAGTAATGTCTCCACCCAAAGTGGGGCTCAGACTGACAACCCCAAGATCAAGAGCTGCATGCTTTATAAACTGAGCCAGCCAGGCACCCCACAATACTAGATTTTTTTAAATTAGATTTTTATCAAACTAATAGATGACCATAGCAGAGAGTCAAAACTATTTTAAGATTTTTTTAGTAAAAAATAACCATGCCCTTGCCTTGTGCTTCTCCACTTCAGTCTCATTCTCCAGAAATAGCTATCAATTCTTTTAGCTTTCTCTGGGTATTTAGCTCTAAATTTCCAAAATAATGTTTATGTATCTTTGCTCGGTTTTGTAGTTTTCAGTATTATATTTTGACTTCCTGATATGGAAGATGATGATAAAGATGTGATTTTGAAGTTTCTCAGTGTTCTTGCAACTCCTTTGGTTCCTTCCCCCATCCCTGCACTCACACTTGCCTTTCCTCCCATTCACCTAATACAGCTATCGCAATTTGGAGTTAAATCTAGAGATTCATGCCTTTCAGCTCTAAGACTTTATGGTTTTGATAGTCCCTTCCTTCTGTTTTCTCTAGTCCAGTGGCCATGAAACTTTTTTATCTGAGGATTCCAGGATTTTTGTTTATATGGGTTCTGTTGATTGTTATGATATTGGCAGTTAAAACTGAGAGCTTTAAAAATATTTATCAATTCACTAAAAATAACGTTACACATTTTTTGCATCTACAAAATAAACCATTTTCCAAAACAAAAAATAATTTAGTAGGAAGAGTCTTTCTTTAATGTTTTTGCAAAGCTGCTTAGTCTCTAGATTCTCATATCTGCTTCTCCAGTCCATTGGAATACATTGTTTTGATTGAAGTATACCAGGAAAATCCAGCCTTATATAGATACATAGTTGCAAAAGAGGGGAGTCTTTTAATAGCTTTTTTTGATAATTGTGGCTATTTGACACTACACCAAAACTCAACAAATGGTATTTCTTAAAGGTTAGTTGCTGTGTGGAATTTGAAACCATATCAATAAACTTTTACTGTCTTATATTCAAGTCCATTGATCTATCTTGATTAGAAATGGGTCTTTTATTCTTGCATGCTTTTGTAATAAGCACTGGTCATTTGGAATATTGGTTCTCTGATTTCTGTATATCGTCTAAATATCAACACATACTCTTACAGAGTAAAAAACAACCACATTCAATCACATATCACTACCAAGCTCATCAGAAAAAAAATCTTACAGCATGAGGGTCAGCTCTTGATTGAATTTTTTATTTCTTATTTCTGCCTTCATACTTGTAATACCCAATAGCTGTCACATTCTGAACCTTTCTTCCTAATCCCCTTGGGTACATAGAAAGGTTATTTGATTGTTGGGGACCGTCAGTCTACAATTAGTGTATTCAGTTAATTTCTTAAGAATTACCATAGAGTATTTCCTATCAGTGTGACCCAGAAACTATTTAAACATTTTTTTTGATAAAAATTCCAAAATGACAGAAGCCCCCAAAAGAATGCATGTAAAAATCACAAGTAAGGGCATTGTTGGTTTGATTTTTGGAATCAGTGGCATTATTCATTCATTCTTTATCCCACAAGGTCAAATGGTCAGTCATGCATATTTTTGTAGGCATTGCAAAGCATTTTCAAGATTTTCTGTAAGGAGTTATTGTAAATGACACCAGCCTGCAAAAGTTCTCTTATGAAGACTGAGCTGAGGTTTGCAAGAAACGCCAGAGACAACAGAATATGCCTTTATAAGTGGTACATTTGAGATAGGAAAGGAATGGATAGTCCTTTCATAGAACAGATGGTATAACTTGCACATATGACAAAAAACAGAACTGCTGTTTTGGAAAGGGCACACCAAAATAAAATCAGACATTAGACTTCTGGTCCCAGCTCTAGTTCCACTTATTAGCTTCAAGGCCCTCGGGCAAGTTTAAAAAAAAAAATCTCCGAGCTTCAGTTTGTCTATCTTTAAAATGAAGATCACATCATCTGCATTGCTTCTGTCACAGGGAGCAGATGTTATCATGAGGGAATTTAAGTTCCGAGGAGATAGGAAATGGAAACATGTAGGTGTGCCATAAATATTGTACATCTTCTTTTAGTAATATTTAACATATATTAATAACTATTTTAATAACTGGTTCTAGTGAATTTGCAGGTGATGGAGTAAATGAAGGCAGTAGGTCTTGGGTTTTGATATAAGGGTCATCATCTATCTGAAGAAAGATTTTTCAGCTTATGATTCTAGTGAAAAATTTTTTTTAAAGATTTTATTTATTTATTCATGAGAGACACAGAGAGAGAGGCAGAGACACAGGCAGAGGGAGAAACAGGCTCCATGCAGGGAGCCCAATGTGGGACTCGATCCAGGAACTCCAGGATCACGCCCTGGGGCGAAGGCAGGCGCCAAACCGCTCAGCCACCCAGGGATTCCCCCCAATTCTAGTGAAATTATTGAAGTGAAATTACAATGCTTTTGTATTTCTAGGTGAATCTAAGTTGGAGGTGGCAAGTGGGAGGGGGCAGCTAAAACCAATATTAGAATTTTCATAGTCTGCACTTGTGATCCTACACAGATTACATTCTGGCATATTCTCCTATAGGTATTTTTTTCTCTACATATCATTTTTACATAGTTCTAATCATGCCATAGCTTTACAGTATATCATAAAATGTTTTTCTGTGTTATAATAGAGATTTCTTTAACGGCTACTTAATATGATTTGGAATTAGATTCACCATGATTTTCTTAACCATTTTTCTTACTATTATTCAGTGTTCAGATGCTTTCAGATGATTTTTTTTTTCCATTTAAAATAATACTCAGTTCTTGTTTTTCCAGTTTCTGGTTCTAATACACTTGTACTAAAAGCATAGTAGAGGGGTGCCTGGGTGGCTCAGTGATTGAGCATCTGCCTTTGGCTCAGGTCATGATCCCAGGGTCCTGGGATTGAGTTCCACATTGGACTCCCTGCAGGGAGCCTGCTTCTCCCTCTGCCTGTATCTCTACCTATCTCTCTGTGTCTCACATGAATAAATAAATAAAATCTTAAAAAGAAAAAAAGAAAAATTACAATAAAGAGCTGTAGAAACTTCTTCCTTGAGGATTAGTGCTGATGTTTGGCTCTCCCTCTTCATCAGATCTTAGAGTCTCTGTGGATTGTCATGAGCCGGAATGTGAGCCTGCTTTTCACTACTGTCACCACACTCCTAACCATCCTTTTCTACAGTGGGACCGCCCTTCTCAATTTCGTGCTGTCTCTGGTATGTACATATAGATAAGTGCATGTCCTCTGTCCTTCTGTAGTAAAGCATATTCTTGGTTCCATTTGTGTTTCCTTCCTCTAGTTTCCAAATGTGATTTTTTAGGAGATACTATCCTTTGTTTTGCAGATAATTTTCCTGACCACACTATTTTATCTATTAAGTTCCAGTGATGAGTACTACAAGCCAGTGAAGTGGGTGATAAGCCTGACACCATTGTCTCAGCCAGGCCCTTCTTCTAATATAATTGGCCAGTCTGTGGAAGAAGCTATCAGGTAGGGAGAAGATTTATGCTGCCCTTCTTTCCATCAGAAACTGCTTTCTCTGAGAAGCCTGCTTTCTGTCATGAGCCTTTCTAATAACATTTGGTGCTAAGCTAGTGAGAGACCCTGGTATTTTCAAAATTTCGTATTTCCTTGTGAGAGCATAACGTGAGCAGTGCAAGTGTTGATCAGAAAAAGATCCAGTTTCCTGCTGTCCTGTGAGTTCCACCTTTCTTTCCCCCACTGCAGGCTCTTACTCTAGCTGCGGTTCCTGTCATCATGTCACTTGTTGGGGAAAACCACCTCTGGCACCACACAAACACCTCCCCTTCTCTCAGAGCCCTCCTGTTCTCAGAAACTGCAGCTGTGCCCCGGGAGGGGCAGTTGATAGTCTGTTTCTTCCTGTCTTCCCTTGTAGCCAGGCTGTGCCCTTTGCATGAGAGTAGATTGGATACTAGAAATGCAAAGTTTATTGTTATTTTCAAGTCCCAGGCTATGTGTGCATTACTGGTTCTGGCCAGAAACTTCCATCATGTCTTGGGTCCAGTGTACTGCAGGCGTGGCTTCTGAGTGAGATGATTCTTCAACTTTGTTTCTTCATATGTATTTTCCAAGTCATTTTCCTCTTTGTCATTTCAGGTAGGGAGAGGCCCTTTGCAGCCCAGGCCTGTCTCAGCTTTTTTCCCCACTCTCATCCCCACTGTTTTTAGCTCATTAGGTTCTAGTGTATTTTTTACTGCTTGCACATAGCTGCCCAAATTAAATCCTCATGTTATCCATCAGAGCTGCTTTTTCTAAGAAGTTGTTTACTAAGTGCCCTTAAACTTGAATAGTGAATCTTTGCCTGGCAAAAGTAAGTTTCTACTTACTTTTAAGGAATAGTGTTGCTTGGAAGTCGTCTTTCTTAGAAATCTTGATTTGCCCTGATAATTCTGTCTGACTGACCTTGGTTTATTTCTTCATTGTGCTCATTTAACAATTGATTGAGGATACCACTTTGGTCTCTGGAAAACCCTTAGTTACATTCAAATAGCATGCATGTTCCTAAAATATATTCTTTCTAGAAAGTTTGCTGGGTTATCTTTCTTTTTCCTACTAGCAAGGCCTGGGTAGTGTCTTCATCAATAACTCACTTCATTGGCCATCAGGTTGAATTTTTATTTATTTTTTTAAAAGATTTTTTATTTATTTATTCATAGAGACACAGAGAGAGAGAGACAGAGACACAGGCAGAGGGAGAAGCGGGCTCCACGCAGGGAACCCGATGTGGGACTCGATGTGGGACTTGATCCCAGGCCCCCAGGATCACACCCTGGGCTGCAGGCGGCGCTAAACTGCTGCGCCAACGGGGCTGCCCCAGGTTGGATTTTTAAAAATACTCTTATGCTCTGTGGTGGTCTTGGATATCCGTGTGGGACCATCTATTAAAAATTCCAAGTTTGGGAGTATATTATCTAATGTAACAGTTTTTCAGAGTGAAGCTGTCTTCAGGAAACACACTTGCTGGCTTTAGCATCCCTTCTAAGTCCATATGATCATTGGTTATCATCTTTATTGAGTAAATGCTGAAAAGTCTAACAAGTCACGTTAGTTTATGTGAGTTACCTATGTCTGACTCAAGGAAGTTTATGTAAATAACTCTACCAAAAAGAAAAATAGCTGTCTACCTTCCCAATACGATAAAACTAATGAATGAATCATTTCAAAGGGTGACAAAATCCTTTAGTCCATTGACTAAAGCCAAGCCTCACAGAAAAATATCTATTTTGTCCCATTAAGAACTTTAAATTTTTTTTTATTTTTATTTTTTATTTTTTTTTATTTATGATAGTCACAGAGAGAGAGAGGCAGAGGGAGAAGCAGGCTCCATGCACTGGGAGCCCGACGTGGGATTCGATCCCGGGTCTCCAGGATCGCGCCCTGGGCCAAAGGCAGGCGCCAAACCGCTGTGCCACCCAGGGATTCCCCCCATTAAGAACTTTAAGAAAGATACTTCATTTTCTTGAAATAGCCTTTATTAGCACTGACTCTTATTCTCACAAAAGCTTTTCTGTTTTCAAATCATAGTTCTTGAATTTTCTCTCCTTTTGCTTTCTTAGAGTGAACCACTGGTCAACTGTCCTCTGTCATTCCAGTTACCTTTGTTTTCATACCAAATATGCCAACTCCTTTGTTTTAAACTTAGTTCTTTAATGTCATGGTTGTTTGGAATTGGTAAGCAGATCTGTGGTTTGTACCTTGGTCCAGCTGATTGAAAGTACATATCCTGGGACATCTGGCTGCCTCAGTTGGTGGAACATATGACTTTTAATTTCGGCATTGGGAGTTCGAGCTCCACGTTGGGTTTAGAGTTTACTTAAAAATAAAATCTTAAAAAAAAAGAAAAGAAAGAAAAAGCACATATCCTTTTGGTATACCGTGGTGCCTTCCAGCTAGTTGGGGCAGAAGATTATGAGTTAAATTTGTGGTGTGGTCTGTTCAAATGGACACATGAGGCTGACAGCTAAAAATCCAAGTTTCTGGCTCACAAGGAATTTGAAGTTAGAAAGAATATGGTCCTCAGGGATAGGAAAGATATATGCCTTTTCACAAAATAGATTTGCCTTTTTTTCCTGGGATTATACATACTAATTATGCACTATAACAGTAGCCCATGTCTTAGTTCCAAAGGATACTGGTATAAAACCATTCATTTTATCATATTTTTAATATAGGAAAAAGTTTAAATCCTCAGTACCAGAACTGTAATCTTAATGGTTCTCAAAACTGAAAAATACAATACAGACTAGATAACTTGTCTGGAACTTTTGTGTAACCACAGTGATATCGAGTTATGTAAATTAAAGATTATAATGCAAGACAATTTTTAGCAGTCTAAGTGCTTCTTTTTTTCTCTTTTCTTTTCTAAGTGATTTTTGTCTCTTTCTTTATTGGGTCAAATTCAAGACCTAAAACGGACAGGCTTTACACAGATGCCTCTGAAGAACCTTTTCACATATGTAAGATAACAATGAGTTCTAGTGCTCAGAGGTCTTGTGAGATTTTTTTCATTCTGAAGGATTGTGTTCAAGATGGAATATGTTTCTTCATGGACAAAGATTTCAAGAGGAAAAATATTATACAAGCGATTACAAAAATGTTGTCATAAAGTCCTGAAAGTGGAACTTAGTCTGCAAATCATCAGTGAAGTCAGACTTCATTAACACCAACCATTACTCATCATCACTGTTGCGGTCAAGTGAAAATCATCCAATTTGTTTTATGTGATCCATCAATAAGCTGAAAATGGAATTGAAGTTGGGAGTTAACTGCATGGCCAGGCACCAAAAAGTGTGTTGGCTCTTGAAGCTTTGCCTTCTGAAATACATGGCTATTTGATGATTGCTGTCTTGTTGAATATTTGAACCTCAGTTACAATCCTCAGTTCTGAACAAGTGTTTTTCTAAATTGAATATGTTTGTGTATTCATTTGGGTTTTCATTTCATGATTTTTTGAGTTAGTGGCATGCCTCCATCAACCCCAAACCATTTTCGTCTCTGTAGAGCATGTTGTGTCCTGAATGTTTGCATCACGCCCTTCTCCCCCCGATGCTCCCATTCTGCTTGCTCTGGTGGAGATATTGCACATTACTAAGTTGCATGTTGTCACGGCCTCAATGCAATTTAGTGTGTGTGATATTTCCACATGAGTGCATGCACACGGGTATGGCTCTTGCTTGTGGGATGACAGCTTTTCAGTATTGGTGGGTGGGCATCCTTCTTAGGAATTGGATAGGAGAATGTATGTACTGTGAAATTTATTCATTTATTCATTTTTTTTCTTTTTCAAAGTGAACGTGCTTCTCACTTCTCCCCTCCCTGCATCCAACACCGGAGAATTAAAAGTATCAGTGTCGATCATTCAGTAAATCTGTATTTGCATTTTGACATTGAACAAAGTAAATATTCATTGGAAAGAAATTCTCATGAATTTCAGGTTATAAACAATTGTTTAAAATGTATAAGGAAGAGTTTAAAGCTGTAAGAAAATGTATTTTCACTTATTTGAAAAGATAGCTCTCTTAACACTGGAATAGAGACAAAATCTCTTATGCATGTTTGGGAGCCTCACATTAACTGGAGTTCTTAAATAATAACCAACTCAGTAAAAATAAAGCCTTTTTAACCTAATTGATTAAAGATTGGTCTAATAATCCTAAACCTTTATGTCAAGTTTCCAAGGAAATGACCTTAAGAAACTTTGTCTTGTATTTAGTTCCTTATTGTGGTGCTTTAAAACTTAATTAAATTAATTTTTATAGCCTTATAATTGGACTAGTGTTGAGATACAACTGTTTGCTATTTGCCTATGTGTTTGAAGCAGCCCCTTGTTAATTTTTTAGTTAGCATTAGACCAAGCCTCCGTGATCAGTGGGCACTGTCAAAGACACAAAACCATGCATTAATGATGTACAAATATTGACTGCCAAGGACTCCAGTTGATTGAACGTGACACCACTGTTGTGCTTTCCTGTGTGTGACAATGACTCACTGTTTTTTCTCGGGGGGGGGTTGCAAGGCTTCCGAGACAGCTTCTCCCTGTGCTCCTCAGCAGCACACCAGGTCTGCTTGTGCAGCGTGCCCATCCCCCTCAGGAACGGGGAACTCTGCTGTCAACCAGGTTTCTGTACATTTTACTGTTGGAGCCAGGTCTCTGGGGCAGATGAACCAGGAAACGGAGGGAGATACAACTTTTCAAGAGAGTTTAGGTAGTAATGAAGAGAGCTGGGTGATTCTTTTCCCCAGTTGATAATTTTACATGCTGTGTTTCTGGAAGCTGGCCTGCCCTCTCTGCTACCTAGCCTTCCATTGAGGGGAAGTATATTGCGGTGAGGGTAGGTAAGGCAATGCTCGTTGTTTCCTGAGGGAGCAATAATCTGATAGTCTTCCTGTTTGACCTTTAGAAAGAAAAGAGGGCAGAACCAGTGTAAGGAAGGGTTGGGGGTAGGCAAAGTTTGATTTTTGGACTCTTC